ATCCTCGAGGCACTTGCTGGGAGAGCCTGGCCCCAGTCCACGTCACCGTGTGAAACGCCGCAGTTTCTGCAACCCTCGCTTTGTTCCTGAGAAACGCTGTCTGTTCATCCTGCAGGCGAGCCCTCCCGGTGCGGAGGGCCGGTCCTTGAGTGGTTGGAGGGAAATCTCACGGGCACTTTGACTTTATTTTTCCCACTTATCACGTTCAGGATGGACTTTTCAAGATTTCTTAACGTGAGCTAAGACTGAAATAAAGAGTTACAACCATTTAAAAGCTCTTTGTGGAGCAGAGGGAAGATTTTGTGCATTCCAGTTGCACTCGGTTGGTTTTAAACATGTGAAGTTATAACCAAGGTTGAGATCATTTTTGAAAGGAGCAAAACTACAGAAAAGTATCAAAACTGTACAACCTCTGGGGCTGGCCCCGTGGCCGAGTGGTTCAGTTCACACACTCCGCTTCGGCGGCCTGGGGTGTCACAGGTTTGAATCCTGGGCGCGGACGTGGCACTGCTTGTCAGGCCACGCTAAGGTGGCGTCCCACATAGCACAACCAGAAGGACCTGCAACTACAATATACAACTAGGTACTGGAGGGCTTTGGAGAGCAGAACAAGAAGAAAAAAAGCTTGGCAGCAGGTATTAGCTCAGGACTAATCTTTAAGAAAACAACAACAAAAAATTATACAATCCCATTGACTTATACAATAATAGCAAGTATTGTCATAGTGCTTACTTTGTGTCCGATTATATTCTAATTACTTAAAATGTTCAGGCATTTAATCCTTACAACAATCCTATAGGTAGATGTACTATCATCGATATTTTCCAGATCAGGAAATGGAGGTACAGAGAGGTTGAGTAACTTGCCCAAGGTCACACAGATGGTGGAGAAGGGCCTTGAATCCAAGCAGCACAGGGCCCTTGGTCTCAACTACTGCGGTGCTTTTCTCTTCACTGATTTCAAATTTGCAGCCGTTAGGATGGGAGTTGAGTTTTGATTCTTATACTGTCTCTGAAATATGAGTTTACCAAATATTAAAAATTAGTGCTATCTACACACTGTAAGCTTAACTTTTTTCTAAGAAAAACTATTTACAAAACAGCATTAATTTAAGGCAAAGAGCTGATTTTCTTATTGCAAATTATTTCTATATGCTCGTTGAAAAAGGACCTGAAGGACAGGTTTTTTTTTGGCAGTAATTTTTCGCTTAATTTGCTGCTCAAGTGTTTACATATGGAAGTAATGAAATCGTATATCTTGAAAATCTTGAAAACATCATTTTTTAAAAAAAATGTAACCATTATAGCTTTTTCTTTGAATGGATTGAAACACTGTAGAGCAATTAGTCACTGTAATATCTGTAGCTGAGGTTTATTTGAGAGTCCTTTTAAAGACTTGTTTTCTTTCCACAATAAATCTTTTTCTGCAGGTTTGAAGCCCATTATTTGCAGTGACTAGTATTGAGGTTGATAAAGCAGGGGAGGCCTTGTAAGTCACCTTTTGGTTTGTCGGTCTGTGTTCGCTTCTAGATCCTGTCACCTGTGTCCTTTGGCAAGTAGAGGCTAGGGTGCTCCAGAGAGGTGCGCTGAAAAGGACTTTTGGGCCAATTTTATAAATAGTTTCAGCGAGTGACCCAGAAAATCTACATGGCAGGTTGTGGATGACAGATTGGGAGACAAGGCCGAGATTTTCCCGTCTCACTACTGTCCTACGATTTTTGTACCGTCCTGTCCCCTCCAGCAAGACTTACTGTTTCAGGGGAATCATCACCTCAGTGACGGAGCAGATGCCCCTGGGGACCGTCGCTCTTGGAGGTGGTGTCCCAACCTGACACTCGGCGCCGTGAATCACAGAGCAAGGCAGGTATTTCCTCCTCCGTTTTGTTTTAATCTTTTTGCTGATTCAGAGAGAGAGGCCGTTTGGCGCCCCTGCGTCTCCCGTCTCTGGATCCTCAGTCTCCCTTTACGAGAGAGAAAGCAGCCTTGTAGACTCTTGCCTTTGACGGACAACTGCGTTTAGTCAGAATGTACTTTCAGTGTTTCACTTTCATTGTTTTACCATGAATAATTCCCTTCTACGTTTGATGGGGAATAATGGCTTTCTGTTCATAGTAAGGATGAGGCATTTCTTTGAAAATCAGTTTTATTTAAAGAAAAGGTGAGTCAAACTGTGGAATCTAATAATACAGGTGATATGTAGATATGGCACATGGTGAATTTGGTAGAGGAATGGCAAAATCTTGGGAAATACTGGTCTAATATCTGCTATGGTTAATTTTATAGAGATCCATGCTGTCTTCTTTGAAACTCTTGGGACCAGATTTGTTTTGGAATTCAGAATTGTCAGATCTTTTTGGCATAGTCCTTATACTATACGTGATATGACTCCCGTAGGAGAGAGCGAGGGAGCGCCCTCATCAGGCATGCTAATATTTTTGCAGCAAACTGTGTGAACGTCCACACCAAGTGGGGTCAATAGAGTCTAAACACGGCCTCGTGTGGGTTCAGGCTACATTTTTTCACCAAATATGCTTTTGAACCAAACTTATGAAAAACAGTTTTGATTCTCAGAGCTTTCCAGATTTCAGAATTGCAGATAAGAGATTATGGACCTGTCTTTGTAAATAAATCACATCATTTTCTAAAACACTGATCAAATTAATCCTGCAGAAGACAAATTAGACCCCAACTTAGTGTCCAAGTAACCTGCCATCTTTTAGTTTATTTTGCTTCTTGCGTGTGATTTTCTTATAGATTCTGACCCGCCCCTCAGGCTAGGGACATTTGTCTGTGGAAGGAAAGTTGAGTCCAGGTGGCTTCCTGTGTGTGCAAACAGTAGTTACTTGTCCTGCTCGTCCTCAGAGTGAGCAGTCAGCGTTTTGAACACAAAACTCGCTCTCTTGCTAGTTCAGAACCTGGCTGTGGGGTGACTGGTCAGTGCGTTCATGGGCACCAGACAGTTTGGGTAATATTGGGTAATATTTCATTGGCTTCTGTTTTTAAAATGAAACCCGTCGATTATTTTGTTCAATATCTTGTCAGTTCTTAAGTCAGTCTAGCTATCAATGAAGTCTTAATCTGGCAGGATGGCAGTAGGTAATCAGGGGTATGAACAGCTTCAAGTGTGATGGCAGAAATGCCAGGCGTTTTATAGTCTGAACTTTCGACACCGTGGAGCGGTTAAGCTGGATTAACTCCACTTCAGAGGGCCGTGTTGAGTTATTTGATTGTTTTTAAAATATTCTTTACAATGACAAATGAGCAAGTATTTTCTTCAGAACATGTTGAAAGTGTTTTGTCAGGTTCTTAATTTATGACCTTTGGAAGATGCTTTTATTTTGTATAATTAGAATGAAAATGTATAATTGGTCATGAAGGTTATGCTTGTGAAGTACTTGTGGGCTTTGTATGTTATCTTACGAGCTATTTAAATAAATTGATAAAAGACCTTGTAGACATGAGAGGGTGGTGCATTCCATTTACATTGTACATTTCCTCGAGAAGCTTAATTAAACATCTCGCTTGGGTGTTCTGTGGGGAGGAGGTCGATATAGATGCAGAATCTGAAGCCAGGGCCATCTGACTCATCCGGTTCACCTATCTTTGTAACTATTGTAATGTCATCCGAGACTTTCTATGAAAGAATCGAGTTTTCCACTCCTAGTACATCAGCCCATCGGTTATGATCTTTTTCATTTCCTGATTCACTCCCGTGGGCTTCCCTGGGTTTTATGCTATGACATAAATAAGACAGGTGGTGAGATCAGTGCCATGTCTGGTGGAACAGAGGCAACACTGTCCTTTTGTCCCCACTCAAGAAAACCTGAATGTGAAGATCACATTTGCTATGGATATAACTTTGAATTCATCCTACTAAAGTCATTTACAGATACTAATAATCTATAATGAGTATAACACTCTATGATTAGCATTAAGAACCTTGTACCCGACGTTGCACATGATTAAAATCACTGTTTATTAACAATAACAAAATATAATAACAGCAACAATATTTGTTGAGCAGTTACTAAGTGCTAGGCGTGGGTTAAGTGCTTTGCATGTCTGAACTTGTTTAATCCTCATGACCGCACCGTGAGGAAAGCTTCATCATCATCCACTTTCACGGATGAGAAAACTCTGTAAAGGTATCTGGGATTAAGCGAGTTAGCGAAGCCGCTTATGTTCCCTGCAAGTACAGTAACGTCTCAGCTCTCTGGGACTTGACTTTGAGCAGCCTCATCTATTTGGAGCAAAGCTGAGAACGTGGAAGCAGGCAAAAACATTTCTGTAACTAAAATTGAGGCAAATTCACTGTATGAGATTATGTGTACTCGGCAGGCGGTGCAGAGCTGGAACTGCCACACTCTGTCCTGTAGTGGGTCCTTTAGGAAAGGGTCACGGAGCCTGAGCACTGCAGCACAATCACTAATGCTTCCAAGTTATTTATAAGGTGAAATGAATTTTCGTTTAATCTGTTAGAAACTGAAGACAAAAATTTGATTTTACAAAAATCCCTAGGGATTGGAAAATTAGTGCCTGAGATGGGCACGTATTTATCTATGTAGAACTATTCATTCTTTATGCAGGTTTTTGATAACTGAGAAGGTTTGGATATAGAAGAGAAAATACTTGCATGTAAATATTAATGTGTGAAGACAGCAAAATGTCATCTTAAAAAAATGGAATCTATGTTGCTGGCCTGGTGGCGTAGTGGTTGGGTTTGCGTGTTTTTCTTTGGTGGCCTGGGGTTCGTGGGTTTGGATTTCAGGTGTGGACCTACACACTGCTCAAGCCTTGCTGTGGCAGCATCCTACATACAAAATGGAGGAAGATTGGCACAGTTGTTAGCTCAGGGTCAATCTTCCTCGTCAACAAACAAAAACAAGAAGAAGAAGAAGGAATCTTGATTTTTTTCCCCTTATGGTTTGATTAAGAAGGTAAAGCTTGACTGTAAACTAAATTCCTTCGACTTCATTTGTCCCATTTTCATTTTTCCTCTAGATCGCTCCTTTGACGTCATCAAAAAGTCCAGCCACCCCCCTCAGTTCCTCGCTGCAGGCCGGCTGTCCGACATGCTGAACGGGGGCGATGAAGTGTATGCTAACTGTATGGTGACAGACCAGGTGAGGAGTGACTGATGCGATCAGGCGGCTCTGCCCTCTTTCCAGACCTGAGGCTGTGAGAAATAGAGTCAGCACGGTTGTTCTTCTTGGAGAATTTCAGCCTCAGGGCAGCCCGGGTGATGCTGCGGTGGTCTCATCATGTGAGCATTTAACTTAGGTTCCCCTTTGGGGCAAGGTGCACCTCACCCCACCAAGAGCCACCACAGGAGGGGTCTCGAGACAAATGAGAAGAGTTGAGAGCTCTTCCAGGGGGCCCCAAGAGGAATGACAATTGGGAGGCCGATTTCTTCTCTACAGCTTTTCAAAAAACAGTATGTATATGGCCTGGTTAAGCAATGTTTGTGTTCAGATCCAGCAAATGGTTATGAGCAAGAGCTTGGGGCCAGCCCCACATGATGCTGTCTCAGAAATTGCTGGTTCAATGCTTACAGCACACCTATCGACATGGACTGAGGTTATAGAGCTTTAGTGTGAAGACGGAATGGCGTCACGTTACAGGGAAACTGGAGCCCTTTAGAGTTCCCCACTCATTTCCTGACAGAGCTTTGCGAGTTAAATCTCATGAAGGCAGATGGTTGGAATGTGCGTCTACATATGGATTTACTCTTCCTTCTTGTCTGTAGCTCGGTGATCGTCAAATTTTAGTATTTATAAAAATTAAAATATAGGTATACATCTGGAGATTTCTGCACACCCTAATTTATGAGTGATTCTGCCTTCTCCACAGACTTTAAAACCTCATCCTCATATAAGATGCTCGCTAAACAATCCAGTGCATTTACCCTGTTGTTGTTGTTAGCATGCATATATGGTACTCTATTCCTCATAGGTGTTTTCTGGGATATAAACTTTTTTCTGTCAAGTAGATCTCAATTTCAGCCCTTTAGTCAATGTCTCCACCTTTTCCTTTTGTGTTATAAAACACAGTTACATCAAAGGCACAGTGTAAATGGAGTAGGTTGGGATGATGTTCACAATGACAGAGGAACCCATAAATCGGAATGGACATCAGCTATAAATAACTGGTACAGTTTTTTGGTGTAAAGTAGCTGAATGTCAGCCCTAGATATGGAAATCTAGGATGAGACACAGAGTTTAGGACAAAGTGGGAGTTGTGGAACATTCTTTGAAGATATAGAGTGCCTGGACTTGGTGTGCTCAAGCCATCTTCTGATTTTAAGGGTTTTTATTCTGTTGCCATATTTTCTCAGTGTTTAAATGAAACACTTCTTGAGTCCTTAGTTTTGTTCTGAGCCTCAGCAAATACTGCAATATTTCCATTTACCTCAAGTAGCTAAAGCTGACTCAATATCATGTGAGGGAAAGCTATGTTTTTATATGTTGTAAGATACATTAAAAATGCAAAACTTCCTAAAACCAAGATGAGGTTAGGGTACATATTCTGTTGGGAATATTTTGAGCGAGAGAAGTGTTACTTTAATAATGCAAAGCACACATTTAAAGAGAAGTCAAATCAGCCTAACTGATAAACTGAAATGTGGCAGAAGATTGCTGAATTTGTGCAATGAAAACAGAAATAAAACTAAAATCCTGGATATGAGTCACAAGGTTCACTATATCAGTGTAGTATAGTTCTCATATAGGTTTTTTTTACTGTTCCTGTGTCCATTTGAATAGCAGAACAACATGAGGAGTCCAAATTCTGCGTATTTAATTTCTAGCAATATCTGGAAAGAATCTCATCTAATCTCCTTCCTTCCCCTTAACCTGGCACAGAACCCCGTAAGGATTGTATCTTGTTGGCAATGCTGTTTCCCATGAATTCTCAAGGTTATTAACCTACCTGATGAGGAACTTCACATGATAAAAACCACTTTGAAAATTACTCTGTCACATAAACTACTTTGAAAAAAAAACATTTTATTTGGACATCATTTCGAGCCTACCTAATTTAGTACAAAGAATCTTTGTATACTCTTTTTCAAAATTCTCAAAAGTTAATATTTTACCACATTTTACTTTCTTGTTCTCTGACTGTGTTTGTGTGTGTGTGCATGCAAATGCTTAAAATATGTATCTAAATATTTTTTAACCATTTGAGAGTCCATTGAAAATATGATGCCCCTTTACTCCTCAATCTTTCATGGTGTGTTTTCCTAAAAACATGGACGTTCTCTTACATGAGCATGTATAGTTATCAAAATCTGGAAGTCATCACTGATATAGTATTGTTAGCTGTGCACAGACCTTATTCATTTTTAGCCACTTGTCCCCATAATGTTCTTTGTAGCAAAAAATTCAGTGACACGTGTTGCATTTAGTTGTCATGTCTCTTTAATCTCCTTTAATCTGGGGGAGTTCCTTCGTCTTTGCCCCTCATGACATTGATAATTTTGAAGACTACAGATCAGGTTTTTATTTATTTGTTTTTGCTAGAATGTCCTTCAGTTTAGGTTTGTCTGATGTTTCCTCGTTGTTAGGTTCTGGTTACGTGTGGTTGGAGGAATGTTACAGAAGCAATGTTGTGTTCTTCTCAGTGCGTTGTGTCAGGAGGCACACGACAGCAATTTGTCCCATTACTGGTGATGTTGTGTTTGATCCACCAAGTTTCTTTTCAGTGTAATTACTGTTTCTCCTTTTTAAATCGTTAAGGATCTTGTGGGGAGATAGTTGGAGTCTCTGTAAATGCCCTCTTACTCATTTGACTCTTCTCACTAGTTTGAACATTCCTTGGTTGTTTTTGCCTCAGTAAATTATTATTATGACAGTCGATTTAGGACCCTAAATTTTCCCCTTTTGCTTCATTTCCCCTTCACCACCCTATCTCTAAATGGTGCTATCGTTCTTTCTTTTTATTGTTTTCTCCCCCAGAGGTGATGCCTTTTGACCTCCGCCACCTCAGATCACCAGTTCTTATAAGCCCCTTCCTTAGAGGCCTCTTTTCACACTTGTAGGCTGGACTGTCTCTTCCTGGCGATGACTTTAGATCAGTCTTAGGCCCCTACCAGCTCCCCATCTCTCTGCCATGCAGACTTTTTCAGACTGCCCTTACTTTCTGCAAAGGCTGATGGCAGGAGTATGGCTGGCTGCTTGCCGAGCTTTGAGGTTTATTTTATTATTTACAGGTAATTTGCAGTCTGGCACGTTGTCTGTCCTCTGGTTATGCTAAGTCCATGTATCTTATGTCGTTTCATGTGCTCTGATTTTTGTTTGGTGTTGTTTTTTTAGGAGACTCAGATTTCTGTGACCTCTGCCACCTTGGTTACCCAGATTGCTATAAACTGCTTTTTAATTGAAGCTGCTTACTCTTTAGTCTCTCTCTCAAGTATTTAAAACATCTCCCCTCATTTTGAGTCCATGGTTCATATGATGTTAAACGCGTAATCGGTTTCTGGTTTTGTCATAATGGACTTTATGAAGCATTGTGTCATTGTCTTCCCTCTTGTGAATTATGGCACGGCAGCCGAGGACAAGAACGTAGCCTGAAAGACAGACTTCTCTGCTCACGTAAAACAAAACAAAATCAAGAACGAACAAAACAAAAAAGATCAATAAAGCAGAAGGTTTTTAAATTGGGGAAATTGTTTTTCTTAGCCAAGTCAATCTTTCCTGCTTTTGCTCAGCAGATAATTTTCTTTCGACTGCCAGGTTGGTGATTTGGATGTTAACTACATTAATATAGAAGGAGTCACTGCAAACGCCTGCCCTGAACCCGCGGGTTCTCCTCGGGGGCCTCAGAGCTGCAAGCACATTCTTCCTACCGAGGCCGGCAGTGGCACGGGCACGAGCCCGCTCAGTGAGAGCAGGGAGGTGATGTCGAATCCTGAAGCCGGACGGTCCGTCACGTCATCTAGTTCGTATGCTTCCAATTTGAACCTTTCGTTTGGTCTTCGTGGATTTGAAAAGGAACCAAGTCACCTAAAGAAAAGAAGGTAAGGTACTATATTCTAGAGGAAAAATGTAGAAAATCAAGAACCTTGTAGCTGGACTTGGAAAATTCTATTTTCTTATTTTTTATTGTCCGCACCACTGTTATCTCTACATCAAAACATTGCCCCCTTTAAGATTCCTGTATTCCTTGACTTAAAAGTAAGGCACTTAAGAAAACTGACAAAAATGTAATAAGGAAAACCACAGTGAGATGCTATTTTACAGTTACAAATGTAAAAGTTTAACAATACTGTATTTTGGTGAAGATGCATACAACGGAAACTCCTATATACAATTGATAGGAGCGAAAATTGTGTAACAAGTTTAGAAAATAATTTGGCATTATCTTGTAAAGTTGGGTATGCATGGATCTTATGACCCAGCAGTGTTACTTCTGTGTCCTGGGAGACATATGCATGAGTATTTGTAGCAGGAGGAAATAACCCAAGTGGGGAATGGATAGAGAAATTATATAGTTATGTAATGGAATACCATACTGTAGTGAAAATGAATTAACTACGGCCACATCTACGTACATAATAACATGCATCTCAGAAACAAGAAGTTGAACAAAAAGAAGCCACAAAATGGTTCAGTTAGATTTCACTTTTATACTATGTAAAATCAAGCAATTTATTAATACAGGGCATGTACATATGTGCTAAAGCTATAAAGAAAAACAAGAGAATGAAGAGGAAAAAAATCCCCAAATTCAAGGTAGTTGTTATACCCAATGGGGAAAGTGGGGAACCGGAATGGAAAGGAATAAAAAGGGTTTCAATGGTATGACCAGTGTTCAGGATTCAAGTTGGATGGGCTTGTGGGTGTTTGTTTTATTTTTATGCTTTGTAACTTACTTTATGCATATTTTCTTGTATCTACAAAAATATCGTTAAAACAATAGTTTTATTGTATATGGTGTGATTTTATATATGTGTGTGCGTGTGAGTGTATGTCCATATCTTTGTATCTGTTTCTTATCCATTCAGCTTGTTGTCTGATTTCCTTAGGGAATAGGCAAATTTCCGTTGGTTTCATTTTATCCTGTTGCCCACTTTCCTGAGAGCATAGTTTATTTTTTCCCCACGCCCTAGATCTCTGATTATAGCCCAGTTTTACACAAAATCATGCATCCAAATGAGAATAGAATATGCATACATCTGTGAGTGTATATATAAATATTATCTATGAATGAACATCTGGCAGAGATTTAATTGATCAGAAAAGAGAGAAAGGGGGAGGGGAAGCATCAATCACCAGGTGCCAATCACTGGGCTATCCTTTGCACTGGTCCACAGCAATTCAAGGCTGTGAAAGTTTAACAGATGTGGATACCAAGGGTAATGTCTGATAACATAAAAAATGAAAGCTTTTCTTTAGATTCGTATTTTGTGAATTATGGTTTTAAAGGTGCTAAGTGGTCATTGCTGCAGACAGAATTAATTGGACATTTTGGGCTTTCCACGTATCTGCTTAGGACAAGAAGCTGTCAGTCAAAGCAAGATTCTAAACAGTTCTGCAAAAATCCACCTAACTGTGTGTGATTAGTGCATTCTGGTAGGATCTTTAAGATCTGTTGAGTTTGTGACCCAGATCTCGAGAGGTGAATAAGCTCTTTACAGGAGCCACTTAGGAACAGAGGAGGACAGGCCCACTGTGGGCTCTCTGTTCTGCTTGTGCAGACGTTCGCAGGCTGTCTGAACTATACGTTCTGGTCGTGGTCTTGCTCTGGGAAGTTTCTCACTGCTGTGGATAGAATTGTACCTCTTTAGAATATAAGACAAACTATCCAGTTTGGGTAAAGGTGATTAGAAGCTTCTGTAAAAATATTCCAGCTGGAGTGGGGGCTGGGGCTGTGGAGAGGAAGACGTCCTTAGAGAAGAATCTTCCTGCTGGTCCCCTAGGCCGACTGCATCTCCTGTGCATTCTGTCTCCACTGCACAATGTGGGGATGAGGGAAAGGGCTTGCCATCCCCAGAAAGCCCCGTCTGGGCTCTCGGGTGGCCGGGGGCCCTCCCTTCACTGGGTGTCATGCTGGGAATGTGTAACACGATTGATAATGAACTCAAATTGGAATGCACCCAATTCATTAAGACGTGAATAATAGACTGAGAGGCTGGGAATTTTTCCTGAAGGAGAAATTTCGGGGCACACAAAAAAGCTGAGGTTAACACAGGGACGAGGCTGACTGGGACCTATGTCCTAAGTCTTCTAAGGTTTGAAACAATATTTTGGTGAAAGTAAAATATGCACAATGTGTAGCCATTATGTTATTAAAACTTAATAGCTGTTTTGAGAAGCTACCAGGGGAAAATAAGCAATGCACCATTCATTTTAAAAAACTATACAACAAAATTGGGTGATCAAGATAATTGTTTCATTCTAAAACTCATATTTTTAAAACCTTTTTTTGTTTTACCATGAGCCACAGTAAGAAATGCTTATCAAACCATGAAGCACTCCCCACACACATAGGCACACAAAATTTAAACAAACATTTTATGAAGTAATGTGAAATGTATTCTGATATTTTCTATTCTATACCATTTTAGAAGAAAATTCTGGTCACAACCTATGGAATCGATTTCATATTCCACTTTTGAAAAATGATATTGTAAAATGAGAACCTAGAGGTAATCCTGAAGAATAATGTCTATGATACCAAATATCTTAGGGTTAATAGCTTAACAAAGAAAAATAGTAGCCCAATTTGAATTAATAGAAAAAGAAATGTTTTGAAGTATAGTGTGCTAAATAGGATAATGCTCACTGATCCATCTAGAGTGTATTCGCAGTGATGGAGAAAAGCTGAATGTGACTGGAAAGGCTTGTGTTAAAATAGGATATTATTGCAGGCGGCCAACCGTTTGAACTAAGTGACGTTGGTTAAGAGATCACAAGTTGTGGCCAATGCAGAGGCACGAGGCATCCACACACCTTTGACCCCTACCCCCAAGGTCTGTGTCTACTCTCAGATAGTCATTGAATTAAGGAAACTACGTGGCCTCTTAAGATATCTGTCATTACGTGACTATAACGGTCAATGCACCAACCTTTACCAGAAAGGTTTTCTTAACACTAAGTTTTAGTTTTTTATGAGAAATAATTTTATGGACGCCAACATATTTGAGTGTTGAATTAAGGTCAAGTCCACCTCCAATTTGTCCCTGCTTCTCAACGCCAAGGTGAAGGCCCTCAGTGAGTTCTTGAAGGAGAGAACCCCACTTTGGAAATCTGCAGGGGTGCCAGTCGTGGTCTTTACTCACTGCTGGGTTTACCAGGGCCAGGAAGGCCCGTGAAATAATTCAGGGACTCAAGACCAAGCTAAGTGTTCAGATTAGAGACATGCACAGTACAACCTCTCTACCTAGTGTCATCATTTATTACGTTGGTATTCAGTGTCCACTGAATAGCCTGTGGTTTATTAATAAAAATAACCCAAATGGGTCAATTCAAAGTTTCATTTTCTGGTTGTTTATATTTCATAATCAAGATGGTTTCCATGTGTTGTTATTAAAATTTTAACTCCAGAACTGCAACAACCAAAGAAAAATATATTTAAAAATGCATTGTACATTAACATGCCTCTGAAAGATGTTGGCCTCAAAGTTTGAGTGGTTTAAAACGTAAGTGTTATGGAGTGAGCCAGGAATGTGGACGGTCAAATTCTTTCCTTTTGATTTCATGGTTATCAAAGTTAAATGAGGGAAGAAAACCAACAGTTAAGCAGAATCTCTGCCTGTTTCTGAGGTGGATTCTCATGGGAATCATTTCTAAAAATCTCTGAAAATGATAATCTAATGTGACACGTTTGGGACCTTGCCTGACTCGTGTCTGACCTGAGTCTTGACACCAGCTCTGGGGTGAGACCTTTGCTGTCTCTCCTCGAGTGTGTTTCTGACCTGAGCTTTGAGAATGCCACACTGCATCTCTTCACGGCAGGCCCCGCCCCCATCCCACCCCACCGCCCAGGGGCTCTGTTTCATCCGCAGAGTGACTATTTGGGGCTTATGATAATTACATTTACAAAGCAAATGGTGAGGATTGTACTACCTTGGACCAGTTTTTGTTTCTTAGAATGTCTGAAATGGCTTTTGCTAGGTAGAAATGTTCATTTGGGGAAATATAAAATTTTGTTTAAAAAGAGGAGATATGGAGGAAGAAAAAAGTAAAAACTGCTTAAATATAAACTTTGTTAGCAATTAAATGAGTACGCTTTGCACCTCACACCAATGAGAGCATTTGAATTCAGAGAAATAGAAACCAATGACTCCGTCAGTCTGTCTGTCTGCTTCCTTGATGGTCTGCTTATTTACTTACTTGTGTTCCAGCTCTAGCCTCGATGCCCTGGATGCTGACAGTGAAGGGGAGGGGTCGTCTGAGCAGGCCCACGTGTGTTACGCTCCGGGGTCTCAGAGTTCCTCGCGGACTGGGCTTCCCAGTGGGGATGAACTGGACTCTTTTGAGACCACCCCTGAACCAGATTTCAACATCTCCAGGACCGAGTCACTTTCTTTATCAAGTAACCTGCAATTGAAGGTATTCTGATTGGTATTAATTTGGCTTATTGTAAGCATGGAAAATATGTTGTCTAAATCCATGTCTATCTGAAAGACAAATGATGTTTTATTCACATGTGCAAACTACTTTTTTTTTTATTTTCGGAGACTCATGAGCTGATTGAGTCTGTGTTTTTAACTTCTCCCACTCTGTTTAATTTGTATAGTCCTCACTTACAACGGCTGATTGATGTTTCATTAATTCATCACCAGTACATATAATCTTTCACATCCTTGGAAAATTTTACCACCGCATACAGTGATTTCTGCGATCATTCCTTAAAGAGAGAGAAACCGGGCAGTGTTCAGTGGGCTAAATGATCAAACTTGTTTTCTCACATAAATCTTTCCTTGGCCTGGGTGATGAGATGAATAATATTACTAAGGCAAGGGTGATACTTGAGCATTCCTGGCTGCGTGAACTAATCTGGAACCCCATGAACTTTATCACTTTTTCCATAGGCGACAGCTTTTTTCTCATTGGAGTTTCATTTTATTGTGGTTGTTTTTTAAAAGATTAAATAAATTCTTCCAATCTTGCACCGAGAGCCCTCTTGTATTTGGACATATGTTTTCTTCCTTTTCGATTTCTATGCTGTCCACTTGTTTTCTTTTTAAATTGAGTTTACTGCTGTAAAACCATGTGTGCTCTGCCCAAACTTCCCTTACTATGGACGCGTGGTTATGATAATGTGTTCTTTGTGTAGCATGTTCTACAATATACAAAACACATAATTTTCTTCCGACTCACCTGGGATGGAAGCAGTACTTTCATTCTAAGTTTTGCACAGGTGAGGTTCTGAAGAGCTTAGCTGTCTTGTCCAGGCTGCCCAAGCTTGGTGATCGATCCGGCTCTCCAGCCCAGGTCTTCTCAGCCCAGATCCTGAATCCTCTCCTTCAGCTCTGAGGCCTGTAGAGCTGTCATAGTTCTTTGAGCCTGAAGGTCATGTAATATTTCTGGATAATAAGAAATGAGTCCGTTTGTTAACGTAAATACTTCTTGGTTTTGCATTTTGAATGGACTTTGAGAAACTCCTCACTACTTGGAATGAAAAGTAATTCAGTCTTTGTGAAACGGTTCCACGGTGTTCACTTTTAAGAAGACTGTCCTATGAAACCTCCTGCCTTGCCTCTGTAATTACCCTGTGTAACTTTTTGCCAGAGACCTCTGGATAATTGTCAAAGTCCCAATGTTATGAAATGTAATTACCATGCATGACTTAAACGCAGAGGATGGCATTTGACTAGGGCCCTTGTGGCCAGCTCACTACTAGGGGTATGGGACAGCTTGGGCCGGCCTTTCTGACACCCCGGCCCAGTGGGTCCTCACTCGTAAGACAGTCAGGGAGCCACAGCCCGAGGCCCATCGAGGGAGGGTCAGCTTCCATTTTCAACTTCCCTCCAGGCCCTTCAACTAAACTGAAGAACTGAGGGAAACCATGTGTTTTCACCTAGGGAGAACAGAAAAGACCAGTACTTATGAAGGACAGTTGCTGATGGCTTAATTTTAGTAACAAATTTTACATTACATTATTTTAAACCTAACCTTAAGTAATACCTTAAAAAATGGATGGGTAGGACCAATCCTAAGCCCACTAGGCCCCTTTTGGATGGGAGTTGGGTACCATAAATGGCTTTGATGGTTGTATTGCATATTTCTTTAAAATTTTTAGAACATGTAGCAAAACCGTATTTTAATTATCTTGCCATCTTGCATTTTCACATTTGTTGCTAATATAATAGAAATAGTATATACTTGGAAAAACAGAAACAAAAATGGAAGTCATTTAAAAGGAATAAAATTAAAGATATATGAATCAGTGATATTCAGACATCATCCCAGGAAGTGCTGGATGGGAATCTGTGGAGAGATAAGCACAGCCCGGGAAGGTACACTGGCCTCATGCTTTCTCCCCTAGAGGCTGGAGCTGACATTGTAAACTTAACCAGCTGGAAGTTTTAAAAACTCTTATAATTGTAAGATGCTGTTCCTCTACCTTCTAATAATCATTAAATATAGATATATCAGTTAATAGAAAATTTTGCTTGAATGCTACAGTATAAAATAATGAAAATAACTAAAAACTCAGGCGAGAAAAAAGGTCAAACTTGTTGTTGAATATATAGAGAAAAAGTCATTTAACTTAATTTTTCACTTTTCACCAACTTGATTGGAATGTCATAATTGCATCCTAAAGTGTATAAAGGAAATATTCCCAAGAGCTCAAGTTTACTAAAACTTTAAAAAGACAATACAATTTTAGAAGTCGTAACAGGCAAAGAGAAACAAATAATAAGATTGCATCAGAAACATTCAGGTTGAATCTTTTTAGAGAGATGCTAATTTCAGGTCTTCTGTAGAATTAAAAAAAAAAATTTTGTTATGATCTCTTTTAGGAGTCCTTGCTTTCTGGAATCCGTTCACGGTCTTATTCCTGCTCATCACCCAAAATTTCTTTAGGAAAAACTCGGATGGTGCGTGACTTTGCAGTGTGCAGTTCAAGTGAAGGTGAGCTTTATTTACCGCCTGGCTTTGAACGTGCTCTGTTCCAGAGCGTCTGTTCCAGAGCCCATTTTCAGGTAGAACATAAAATATACAAGAGCAGCAGGCAAAACTTGTCAACTCTATTTTCATAACTGATTTTTCTAAGCTTAGCAAAATCTTTTTCTCGTTGGATATCAGTCAAGTTATAGACTTGATTTTGGTAAAATTATGTACACAACTCTGTTGCTTTATTCTTTAAATAAAATGTTTTCCTCAAGAATTAGCATAAACTTGAATTTATTCTGGGTTCCTTATTGTGAGAGTTTTAGAGGATTTTCTTTAAGTAAATTATAAAAGTTACTTTTGCCCTATATGTAAATTGCTGAAATAATCTAACTCCTCAGAGGCAAAGCATTGCAAAATAGACTTTATTCCTTTTTTTATTTAGCAAAGGACATTAGAGCGTTGAAATAACAGAACATATTTGAAACATGGGTAAATATATCTCAGTGTTTTTTGTGACAGTATAAGCAATCAGAAATATAACTTTTATGCAGTAAGATTTTAATTAAAATATAGTATACCTACAGAAAGGGGTGCAGGTCATAAGCAGATAGCTTGATGAATTTTCAAAAGTGAATTTGGATCAATAAATAGAACAATTATAGCTACCGAGGCGCTGCCCTCGTAGCCTCTCTCAGCCACCTCCCCCATTTGCAACTTTATTTTGAAGTGTAATTATTTCATACTTTTTGTACATATTATGTAATAACTACATTTAAGGTGTATTTGTGCCAATCTGTAATATATAGCCTTGTAATTTTTTGTCACTGTGTTAGATAATGCCTTGGTCTATCATCCTCGAGTCTTAAAAAACTCAGAAAGCAAGAGGCGTGCTTAAGTATTCTCAGTTTCCCAATGTAGAATATCCTTACTTTTTTTTTTTTGAGGAAGATTAGCCCTGAGCTAACATCTGTCACCAATCCTCCTTTTTTTGCTGAGGAAGACTGGCCCTGAGCTAACACTTGTGCCCATCTTCCTCTACTTTATATGTGGGACGCCTGCCACAGCATGGCTTGCCAAGTGGTGCGTAGGTCTGCACCCGGGATCCGAACCAGTGAATTCCAGGCCGTTGAAGTGGAACGTGCGAACTTAACTGCTGCGTCACTGGGCTGGCCTCCTACTCCTTCCTTTTTTTTTTCCTCCTTTTTTCTTATTCTTTATTGCATTGTTGTCATTACTTTGATTTTTAAGCTATAAGGGGCAATATTGAAAGCATAATTGTGCTTGGAACTGCTATCCTAAAACAATGACTGACTTATTGAACATCTCCCATACTTGTTTGTTGAATGAATATGGTAGACAGGATACATACAATACAAAAGAAGTACACTAGGTGTGTTTTTTCATTTTTCTTTTTCCTTTTTGGGAAGTCTTCTTTTTTTTTTTTTTTTTGCTGAGGATATTCGCCCTGAGCTAACACCTGTGCCAGTCTTCCTCCACTTTATATGCGGATCACCCCCACACTGTGGCTGATGAGTAGTATGGGTCTGCACCTGGGATCCAAACCCACAAACCCAGGCCACCGAAGCAGAGCATGCCAAACTTAACCACTATGCCACAGGGTCTGCCCCTGGGAAGTCTTTTTGGAAGAAGAGAAAGCAAGACTGATGATAAATGTCAGTTTTAATTTTTGGAATGGGGAGATGGAGATAAGGACTGAGAGCAAGAGAAAATACAGCTACCTTGAGAGGACAGGAAAAGAAGCTGGAATGAATTTGCCCTGGATTTTTTTTCCATACCATGAGTCTTTCTAGGACCTCCAGGTCTCCCTAACCTAGTTTAGGCTGGATTCCTTCTCCTGGCATCTTGACACCTTTGTACTAATAGTCCTGGATGGCAAGTTAACTTTATACCATTACTCTTTGGAAAACATTTTCAAGTCTTCCGTGCAGTGTGCAGAATGATGGCCTTGCCTTTGTATCTGTAGTAGCTCTGATTTTTAAAGCTAGACTGTTCTGAAGTCTTGTATTGTTGAGCAGATAACTGAGAGGAAATTGATATGTTTTATGAATTCTTTAATCAATAAGGAAGGGTATCTTTGCCTTGCATACAACCCTTAAATCTTTGCATTTGAATTAGAAAGAATAAAAAGCTGAAACCTTTGGATTTTCTGTGAATGAAAGCTTGTCTTTAGACCATATATTTAAAAACAGGGCCATCTGAATGGAGTTTGACACTCTCCAGAAGGTAAGAGTTACAAACAGGCGATTTGATTTGAGGCTGCACACTCTATGTACGAGGTTCCCGTGGATATTCCCGCATGGTTGCAATGATTGGGTGCTGTAATACAGACCTGCAAAGAGAGGATGGTCTTTCCTTTTTATTCTTATTTGAGATATCCTCTCATCCTTGTCACTTCCAAAGGGTTCCTATCGCCTCTCATGGTTTTTTTTTCTCCTGACCGATGACTGCAGTAGCGCCACTTTATTATTTAATGATTGTATATTCATAAAACAAAATCCAATCCTATTGTTCCCTTTGGTACATTGTGGCTTTAGATAGAAAGGAACACTGTCACCTCACCAAGATGAAGAAAAGTGTTCTTCATGTAAAATTTGAAGAGTGAAGTGAGTGTCCTGTTGAAAGTTATTGTGCTCTGATGGATGGAATCCCACTAGACTTTGTTCTCTTGCCTGAGTCTGATGCTATGACTTTATTAGCTTGATTATTTTAGACATGCGACTTATTCTCTTGGCACCTCAGCCTGTTTACAATAAGGATGATAATTTCTGCCCACGACTTATTTTGAGGGACCCTTAATAATGGCAATAAAAGCCTTCAAATTCTTCAAAGTAGATTTTCTATTACTTACAAGATAGTATTACTTCCACATTGATATTTACACATTTCAGGGGATATTTATGTACTGGTTTTCCTCCTTATTATCTGGCCCATCTCCCTTTTTCAAACTGGTTTTGCCTCTTCACCCTTCCGGATTGTAACGGTTAAGGCTTTGTCCCTGCTCTGTAGATGGTGTGCTCCACAGTGGCCGTTCCCTCCTTCGGTCTCTCTCACTGTCTAAGTCAGTGTCTCTGCTCCATCTCTGTAGTAAGTACTCCAGTTCCGGAAACAAGATGGCGCTAAGCTGCTTGCATGGGCCTGCCCCTTCTACCCGCAATGAGTCCAGTGGGGAAGGTGGTTTTCCCTTCCCCGTGAGCCACGACGCACATCTCTGACCTGGCTGCTGCTGGGATTCTGTACAAGCATTGCAGCTGTGTTAAAATGGACTCTTCCTTTTGCTGGGCTTCAAACTTTTCTTTTGAGCTTTGCTACAAAGCAGTGAAGATATTTATTTATTCTGTATGTTGGGGAATTAGTGTTACGAATAAGGAATGAAGCTCTGGTGAGAAATATCCAAAAAGATAGAGCTAATTTTCTGCACTTCTGAAAATGTTTGCTGCCCCTTGATGATGCTAACTTAGTTTATGAAGTTGTTAAATGTTGCCACATGTTGGCCTCCTCTCCATTCTGTCCAAACTAGGGAAAGTGACAAAGCTATCCGGAGCAATGCCCTACCTATGTAAAATGACATTATTTTCTAACTGGGTGTGTATAATGATAAAATATGGTTGAGTGTGTGCATTTCAGACTAACACATGACTGCTAGTTTGTCTGCCTTAGTTTTCATTTTATTGTTCTGTGTCTTGTAGAGCAAAGAGCTTACAGCTTTCCGGAGCCACCAAGAGAAAAAAGGTATTTTAACTGTTCCAAATTTCCTGAGGGATGGTTTGATCCATCTTGAGAAATGTTTGCACATCGCATCGTTGCTGATATCTGTGCAGTATTTCGTGAGAGGTTTCTATGCAATGAGTCTGCCTGAATCCTTTCTCCCTCTGTGATCTTTGTCAGCATAGGTTGGCCAGCTGCTCCTTTCTGTCCCCAGATGTGCAGGCCTCAGGACTGGGGTCAGAACATTTTTGGGGGGTTATTTTCAAAGCCAAAAACCTCCAGTGTATAGGACCAAGAAGGGGGCAGTGTGAGGACCACCTGGTTTAGAAAGATGCAGGTTCTCCCTGGGTCTGTCTGCCAAGACAAGAAGACTTGCTGTGGTAACAAGCCCCTGGGTGGTCAGTTATAGAATGTGCCTAAACGTCTCTGCCCTCTGTCTTTTATGGAGCATTGCTTAGAAGTGTTAAGTTTGGAACAAAGAATAAATGAAGAAGAAAGTATTTTAAGCTTTAAATAATACCAGTTTTCTGACTGGTAGTGCAGATTTGAAAGCTTTAAGCCTAGCTTACTTACTGGGGTAAAGCTTGGGAGGCTGACTAGTGAGCAGGCAGGATTGTTGAGTTCTGTTGATCTTGATTAACTTAACTGCTCACAAGTCACACTGTGAAATAGCCCTGGGGTAATGTCAGAAATGGAGTGAATGCTTGGCTTTAAGAGACCATGCGAAAAAGAGGAAAACGGTTTTAATTTTCGTGATATTAATGCTGAAACTCAGAAACCTTTTAATATATGGATCAAGATGGACTATTTTGCTTTGAATAAAAGTATCAATAAGGAAAAACCTCCTTTTGTTCATTCTTATTTGTTTGAGACCAGAATGCAAACTTTGCAATGATAAAAACAGAGGAAGACTAAGAATGCCCTTTAAGAATAGGATGATGAAGATGACGTCATGACAATGACAATGATGAAAGCAAAAGCAGCAATAACGGACCATCACTGGGTGTGCCTTGCACTGTTTTACATTTATTGCTTCATTTAAGCAATTTACCGACTATTTCTGGAATTTGCTCATCATCCTGGTCATCATTTAATTAGCAGTCTTCTCTCTGTCACCTTTTTAACAATTGGAGAAGTAATGGACTGATTCTAAACATTTTTTTTAATCAAAAATATTTATTTTGCATTAGGCGAGGGATTTAAAACTGGAAAGGCCAATGTCATCATTGGTTAAATACCACCGTAAAAAAGTCTTTAGCTTGGATGAGATGTATAGGGAGTGTCTCTCTTTCTTATTCCTCATTTTCTGTCATTCCTGGTTTTTCTGTTCTCAGTCTGTCTTGGTCCACATCCTGAAAGTGTCTGACGTTATCAGTCATATTCCCTGGTGTGTCTAGTACAGCAGACTTTCATCTCACCCACTGTGTTCCCGATTCCCGATGTCTTGTTGGACGTGTCCATGAGATCCCTGGCCATCCCTAATGCTCTGCTTTGGTCATGTTGTACGTATGTACTTGAGGGTCTGCCTACTTTGGAATTCTCTTATTTATATTGATCTCTTAGCTTCTCGAAAAGAATGCAGCCAGGTTAAAGGGGGCTCACTCCAGATCTTGGAGGCTCATTTCTGCAGGAGCGGACACTCCATCTATCCCAACTTCTTAAAAATTAAATGGCATGGCCCAGTTATTGCTACCATCTATCTTAAATTTACTCCATCTATTACCTTCTATTAAAAAAAATTGAGCATCTGAGTGTTCAAGAAATCTCATTGTATCAATTTTCAATTTGGAATAGTGGGAACTTTTTTTTAACGCTTAGATGCCCAGTTCTTAAAAAAACGAATAGGTTGTAGATATAATCGGTTAAAGATTAAGATGTTGAAGATCCATACTCTTAAGATATTTTAAATATCTGTTTACCTGTTAGAAAGGTGATACCCAGACAGTCTCTGAGGAATGAGGCTTGTGAAACCTTAGTGGGTGATTCCATTGGTCATCAAATCAATAATAGAGCTTAGGCGTTTGTGTTCTGGGATGTTGAAAAGAGTTTAATTTTTTCCAGATTCTTGTAAACTGAAAATCTATTTAAATTCTGTTGTGAAATCAGTTGAGGATTTTTCCCTTCTCAGTTCTTCTCTAAATTACGTAATTGTTAGATAGATGAATGCCGTGTAGTTAAATTAGATTTGAAACATGGAATCAGCAGCCTTCCACATTTACCCAGAGGCTATACAGTGTTACCCATTCTCATAATCTGACAGTGGATCGTGTTGATGATACTCACACCTCTACCGGGTTGGATGGTTATTTTGAGTTTTTAATATTTGTTGTTTCAGTATTTGTTTTTTTACTTTGTCATGTTTCAGGTCTTATCAACATTTGAGGTTAAAGATTAAGTGGTGTGATTTTATGTCATTTTGTAGAAGTATAGAGGATACACGGTAACTTGGGTTCATTTAGAGGTTTTAAATCAGAACTGAAACATTGTTATTGATATCGCCTTCTGTAGCATGGGGGGTGGGAGTAGAGTTGGGTAGACAGGAATTGATTTTCTTTTATTTGAGAGAGTTTAGTTGTGTTCCTGCTGGGAAGTAGAGGAGAAGACTTCTTGACCTCAGAATCCACATTGACCTTAGTGTTCTTTAATTCTGACATGTAGGGCTCCTCACCATACTGTTCTTCTCTCAGACACTGGATGGCATTTCGTGGGGTCACAAAAGGTCTTTCAGAGAGGATTCTTTCTAAGCTCTCAAATGTGTTTTTTCCCCCATTCCAAAAGTGAGCCTGTTGAATATTATGCCAGGAGTTTTGCAAATTAGGATGCTTAAGACACAAGTGGTATGGAAACTTATATGTTGACCAGTCAGTTACTGAGGAGGTGGCTGTGGAAGGAATTAAGAGGGTCGGGGACTTCCTTTTGTGACTCTGAGTAGTGGTGGGTATGTTCACTTCTATCCACCTCTTTCCTTTCTAACTTTTTCAACTCTCTTCTGTAAGTCGCAAACCCAGTTTCACTTACTGTGCAGGGTTCAAGTAGCAGGACTCACACCGTCCTCACTGTGCCTTTAGATCTGCAGGACCGAGCAGCAGCTCTGAAGCCATTTATTAGTTTTTTAAGTGCATTCATAGGTTTGAACTCTCAATTATCTAATATAGGGGTTAAACAACTTAAAGTTTTGTTTAATATGTACCAGGTAAGTATATATTATATTTAAGTGTGAGAGGAGCCTTAGAAATAATTTAGTCCAAGCCTGTCATTGATCAGATGAGAAAAACTGAAGTCTTAGAAACCTGTCATTGAACTCAACATTTTCGTGAAATGTAACCATACATATTTTGGTGCATATCAATAATAGGATTGCTTTGAAAAGTATTTCCCAGAGAGAAATGTGGGAGCCTCTATGCCGGCAAGTGAGCAGCTGGGGTGGGAGGGACTTCGGTTATGAAATGTTCATTTTAAAAAGAGTCTACGGAAGTGTTATCTGGTTTGACATGATGCTTAGGTTGATCTTTGATATACTCTCTCTCTTTCTCTCTCTCTGTAATAATATTAGAAATATAAGACTATCAGAGAAAGTTCCATGGGAAATATAACTTTCCAAAGCTGGGACTTGTTTTTTCCTAAAGAATGATGACAGGGATTAGAAGAAAATAAGTGATGTTCAGTGTGTTCACAGATTGGGTACGGTTCCCTCTAGTTTGCCTATTATTTGGGGGAGTATCCACAACCTTCTCTCCTTTACGACCTAGAGCATCTCACTGCAAATAGCCTGATTGAGCGGAGAGACTGAACCACAGGGCGGACAGCTGTTTCTCGAGCTGTATTGACAAAGAAAATTGTGTCTGCTGAGTATTATCTCTGTGTCCCCAAAATAAATAAAAGCCAGTTTCATAGTGTTATTTGGCTTCTCTGTGCCCTCGGAAAATTCTGATAACACAGTAAACAGGAAGATGAATGTTTTCAGAGTAAAATTATGTCTGATTTCTTTGATTTCTGCAATATTTTATTAAAAATTTTAAAGTATACAGAAAAGTTGAAAGAATTATATACTGAATACCTATTTCCACTACTTAGATTCTATAATTGCTAACATTGTGAGATAATTGCTTTATCATACATCTGTCCACCTATCCATCTATAAGACACATTTTTAATAGTTTCTATCTTTGTCTTTAGAATAACCATTAAAACCTGAAAAATATATGTGTAAAAATATATGTATAAAATATATATGTATATATGTGTGTATATATACACACACATTTGTATGAATATGCTGTGTTTTACTCCCTCTTTAAGTCCTATGAGCCGTGATAACAAATTCTTTTTTGTAGAATTCAGGAAGAAGAATGGGATAAATACCTCATGCCTGCCAAATCGGAGTCTGAAAAATACAAAGTGAGCCGAACTTTCAGCTTCCTCATGAATAGGATGACTAGTCCTCGGAATAAATCTAAGGTAATTGAGATTTTGCACCTCTTGTCAATAAAACATATGTGACTGTTTCTCAACACTCAGTATAGTTCCCACTTTCCCTTTAAAATCACTTACCTGAGATTTTATACACGTATATTTGAAAACCTCTGTATTTCTTACGGAGTGTCGTCCAAGTCATTAGAAATACTGAGACAGCCACATGCTGGTAATATTACAGCTGGGCCTGACTGTGCTCCCACTGTGCAGTCCTTAGATTCTGAGAGAAAACGTAGAGATTCTGTTTGCATGACTCCTGTAAGAAGGTTGCCTCTCAGTGTTTCTTTTTTCTCATTTTCCCCCAATTTCCTGCTGCTGCTGCTCTATTGAAGACGAAAAGCAAGGATGCCAAAGACAAAGAGAAACTGAGTCGACATCAGTTTGTTCCTGGAACGTTCTCTGGGGTTCTGCAGTGTTTGGTTTGTGATAAAACGCTCCTGGGGAAAGAGTCATTCCAGTGTTCTAGTAAGTTCTTGGCCTGGTGTGTGCTGTCTTTGAGCTTTGCCCACCCAGACTGTGCGAGAGAAGGGTGCTTGCTGGCGTGTTTGCGTAGACTTTCGTTGTAGGGCTGCTCATGTGATTTAACAACTTATCAGGCAATGGCCCGTGATGTGACGGGCAGTACCTTCTGTCCACAAGACTGGTATGCCTCTGCCTACTTGACCTCTCCGCTGGGGCATCTAAACAGCTTCTCAAATGTTACATGTCCAACACGGAGCTCGGCCTTCCCCCTCCTGTGCCCTGACAAGCTGACCCTCTCAGTTAATGGCAGCCCCATCGTTCCAGCCAGATGCTCATGCCAAAGATGGTGGAGTATTTCTTTACGCCTCTCTTTCTCTCTGTCCTACATCCAATCCTTCAGCAATCCTCTTGGCTCTTTCTTCAATGTATATGGGAAAGCCAGCCACTTCTTCCCCCCTGCCACAGCTCGCACCCTGGGCTGAAGCCACCATTTCAGTAGCTTTCTAACTGTTTTCCTTGCACTTTTACCACGAAAAGCACAGTTCACAAAATATCTGTTCTCAAGACATCAGCCAGAGTGAGTTTGGCAAGGTGCGTTCCACATCCTCCAGTGGGGACAGCATCCTTCCTCTCATCTCCTGAGGAAAGCCAGACCTTGCCCATGGCTGCAGGGCCCTGTGAGCTCCCCGCCTCATCTTCTCCTCTGCTCTTCTCCCCTCCCCCTCGCTCCCTCTGCTCCAGTTGCTTTGGCAGCTTTGCAGTTCTTGAAACATGCCAGGCAGGCTCCTGCGGAAGGGCCTTCCCTTCTTCGGGCAACTCCTCCCTCAGCCGTGTGGATGGCCCCCGGCCCTCCTTCAGGTCTGCTCGGGTAACACCTTCTCAGTCAGGCCTTTCCTGACCATCTGATGCTTGGCTCGCTATTTTTCCCTTTTCTAGCCCCTGCCCCAACCCCAGCATTTAACCTCATCTAACTTGCTATATGTTTTATGTATTGGTTTTCTTGTCTCCTTCACCAGAATATAAATTCTACGAGGTCTGGGTTTTTGTCTGTTGATTTCATCCTCTGCTGTGTCCACAGTGTCTAGACAATGCCTTGTGCAGAGTAGAGGCTTAGTAAATATTTGTGGAGTGAAAGAATAATTCAGCACGAAAGAATTCAGGCCCAGGCGGGTGAAATACATATCATGTATTTGGTGGCCAGAATTAAGGAATATCTGGGGCATGGGATGGGAGCACAAAGGGAAGAGAGGAGCAGGGCAAGGTTATGTGTAAAGTTCCTCTTCAAATGCCTGGAAAAGGATTAAGTTAAAATTCAAATGTTGCAGCCATGGTTGTGCATCTGATGGAAATGCAACCTGCGTAGGCACTGAAGGCAGGTTTCACCTTCTCACCGTTGAGCCTGTTTGTAATGACGCCAGCTCCACTGCGTGCGTGAACTTTGCTTTCTCCGACACTTGATTTCTTTCTTTTATGGGATCTGAAAAGGCATCAGCAGTTCAGATGTGATGTAATTCGCTGAGTGTCTAGAAATCTGCTGCAGTATCGTCAATGGATTGTTTCTGGCTCGCCTACATGTCAGCAGTCGGTTTAGATGTGCGATGGCGTGTGCTTCATTGGTTGTTCCCGGGGCTGGATCCCTTCAGTTGTACCCCAGCTGCATCCACCACCTGTCTGTCGTCTCATTTTAAGACAGACTCCTCAGGTTGGGTGCCATCCACTCGCTGCTCTAATGTCCATCCCTTCCGCTTCCTCCTTAGCCATCTACCTTCTGGCCTCTGTCGTCACTGCTTAGCAGGCGTCCTGCTTTTCACAGAAACTTGGAGTCGCTTCCTAGTCAGCTCTGCAAGTCTTTCCTCATTATTCAGACTCACAGATCTGTCTTCGTGATGGTTGCCCCTTCATTTAGGTAAAGGCTCTCCTTTCTGTGCACCCACCCTTCTGTTTCACCGCATGTATTGTCACCCTTTTCCGACCTCTGAGCGCCCTCCAAACTCAGTTCCTGGGCGATTGTTTTTTCCTTTAGTGTTTCTAAGTATAGTCATCCAATCTTTTGCTCTAAAATAGTATATTTAGACCTGATCTTCTTAGATTAATGTCTTTATCCCTCACTTTCTACTTCCATATTTCCAGTTGCCTAGAGAGGCTGGATCCCTGTGTAATTTGTGGCCACTTTTGGCGAATTGCAGAAGAACTATGGTACAAACCAAGACCATCCCAGCCACACTGGCTCAGAATGACCCTATCTGTGGGCATCGTCACCCAGAGATTGCATTGTCTCCAGACCAACGTGGCTAAAACTGACCTCAAAATCCACATGCAGAAGGCCATGCTTCCTACTGTGCTAGTGGCACAGCTCAGACCTTGGGCACCTTGACCCCTCTGCTCGTTTGTCCCCCAGCTGATCTTATTTGATCACACTTTCCTTTCTCCCTGTCAGCATTCTGGTAGAGTCTCATCTGCACCTTCTGGGTTGCTGAGAGCCCATTGTTCTAGTTTCCCTCCCTCTGGCAATTTTCGCTTCTGATTTATCCTGACTATAGTGACTACAGGAATCTTTGTACAATGCTACTTTCATCAGCCTGCATGCACTGAAGGATGTCTCTCCTTCTGGTTTACTGGATGAAGCCTGACTCTTCAGATGCATTGGGTTCCCTCTTTGTACCTGTTGACGAGTCCTTCCGCTGGTTCCCTCGTCAGCCTTGGTTTACAACCAGAGGCCTCGCCAGGCGTGCCGTCCCACCTCGCGTGTTCTCCTGCCTCTGTCCTGCGTGTTCCCTGACTCCTCTGTATCAGTCCTCATTTCTCACCTCCTCATGGAAGGTCTTCTGACCACTGTGGCCTCAATTCCTGCACATCATGCTTATGAGCCATTTATCTCGTTCTGTTTAATACTGAGTTATGTACAAGCTCTTTTGATTTTAGCTACTAGAACAGACTAAGTTCTTAAAGGACTATCGTCACACAATGATTCTTTTGTATTTCCTACAGCAGTTGTCACAAAGCTGGGCCCTTAGACACTCAGATGTAGTTAATGACTGATGGAAAGCGTAGGGAGCCAGCACTCACTGGAAAGTAAACTTTTGTTCAGAATACGTCCGTTCATACTGAGCGGTCAGGAGGATGGCCGTGGAAGTTTTAGTGGAAGACGGAAATTGCTGAAAGTACATAGGATATGTTTAGCTTTTAAAATAGTTATTAATTTAAAAAAATGCAATAGGATTCATAGAAGATACAAAGTTTAAGGAGAAACTTAAAATTATCCAAAATTTTACCACCTAGAGAAAATTTACCATTCGTATTTTGATGGAGTCCCTTATAATAAAAAAGTCAGCTTTTTATGCCATTGTTTCATTTGATGATGCCGTCAAATGTGTTTAGTTATTCTTCACTTTTTTAACGTGAGTTTTTTTCCAAATTTTTCGCAGTATAATGTCTCAGCGAGAATTCGTTTGCACACATCACTGTCCATGTCTTTGATTATTGCTGTAGATTAAATTCTAGAATCAGTAGGAATATATGTTTGATTCCTCTTAACCCGCAGTTTTTTAGAAGACGTTTTAAGATTTACAGTTTTTTTGGGAGGAGAGTGTTGGGGTTTTAAACTTTGTTGTGAAGTTTTTTACACTTGATAAGAGAATTTGGTGTACAATCTGCGCCATTTTTGGTGAGTAATCCTTTCATGGATGTATTTTTGTTTTTAATTATGAAGGTTAATATTTCTAATATTAAAAACGTACAATATAAAACAAAACATAATATAAATATTCGCAATCCTGGTGTCCGTATTTTTCTTTGTTTAAAGCCTGAGTTGGTAGTTTCCCACAAAAATTGTATTTCTATAAAATTCTCCTTGTTTATAAATTTCACTGCTTATGTTTTGGTCCTACATTATTTGGTGCACAGAAGCTCACGAATCACCCTTCATTGCAGGTTGAATTTTCATCCACATAAAATGACCTTTTAATACCATTGAATGACTTTTGCATTGAATTTTACTTTGTCTACAGTTAGTAATCCTCTTGCTTTCCTTTTGTTTGTATTTCCCTTAACTATTTCTGTGTGTTTGTTTTGGGGTGTGTGGCCTTAATTTAGCTATAGGTACTCTGCAATGGAACTGACCTTGCCTTATAAGGAGGGTTTTTTCTTGTTTACATTTAATTTTACAGCTATCAACCATCTTTCATCATTCTCTGCTGTTTTCCTTGATGTCTGGCCTAGCTACTTATTTATTTGTTTCTCATAATAGTGTTATTTATTTATTTTTTTATTTGAGGTAACGGTGGTTTATAACATTATCTAAATTTCAGGTGCACATCGTTATCTGGTTTAGCTATTTAGACCCTGTGTTAGGGGTTTGGCAAGATAAACTCTGTTAAGATCTGCTAATAATAACTGGAAGGCTGTGTAAGGCTTATTATTGAATCTTCTTTTATTTCTCTCATATTTACCTTTCCCCCCAGCCTCTATTAGTATACTGAATTCATTGTTATTATTTTTATATTATATATTTAGTCTTGTAGGAGTAATTTTCTATTTCAGTAGTAATTCGGTATTTGTGCTCAGTTCTGTCATTATTTACAACAATTGTTTAGATGTGATTCTTTGTTTAGCTGGTCTCAGGGCTCACTTTTGACCCCCCTATTTTTCTTTAAATAAAGCTGATCCATTCTTGAACCCTTAATTTTGATTCTTCTCTTAATAGACTAGAGTAGGATTTCAGGTAATTTTTTTTAAAGGTTATTGGAATGATCTGTTTTCTGAAGTCTTGTGTATCTAAGGGTATATCTTTGCTTTTTCACGCAAGGAAAGCAATTTATCTGGGTAAACAAATTCTTAGCCCAAACCTTTGCAATGCTGTGTCCTCACTGGCCTGTTGTATCTGGGCGTCTGGAATCACAGTGGGAAAGTCCGGGGCCTGCCTTGCCTGGCTCCTCCACTGGGAACCTGTTTTTTCTGCCGAGATGCTTGAGGACTTAATTTTTGAATCTCATAGATATTGTCAGAATGTGTCAGTAGAATAGGTGTCATTTAATAATTTTTCCTTGAAAATAGTGAGATCTTTTGATTTGCCTTTTTTGGTTCTTTTTAAACTTTATAAAGGTTTTTGTCCGTTGCAGCTTTGACTATAACTTCTGATCTACTTTTTCTGCTTTCTTGCTTGGTCAGGTGTGATCTGTCATCGGTCTTCTTTGTGTGACACCTTCCATTGCATAATTAGACCTTTTCTCCACATTCTGAAGGGAACGTCATAGTGCTGCTTTGATGTTTTCTGACGTTGATTCTTCTCAATTCCATTGAAGTTCTGTTCCAGCCCTTTCTCCTCCCCTGCATCCTTTCTTGTCTCTCAAAGCTCCATTTCCCTCCCATCTTGCTGACCTGTTGTCACATAGTGTTCTCCTTTCTTGGCCTTTTGGTCCCATTTTATGTCTATTTTATGTCTCTTATGGAGAACACATTTCAGATATCTAAACTTTTCTCTCTATTTCTGGACTGAACAGTATGCAGGCTTGCTCTTCCTGTGGGTTTTCAGTATAAGTTTGTTCTGCGGTAGCTCCTGGCTGCTTTTTTCCTTTTCCTTTCATTCGCTTGTTCTGGAATGAGGAGAGAGAGCTGTCTGATTTCGATGTTTGCCAGCAGGACAGTTCGTGCATGAGCCTGGGCTCTGCTCCTTGGCCGTTGAGGTGCTGGTTGGAATGCCTCTGCAGACTGTTCTGAGCCTCCGGCTCGGTTCTCAGTGGGTTACGGGCACTTTTCTGGTGTGGTTTTCATGGACCAGAGTGGGACCTTCTACCCTTGAGGCAGGATTCTTTCTAAGGAAGTTTCTGTAAGCCACAGACTCCTCCATCTACACACAGCGTGTGGGGGTGGTAAGAATAAGGGGTCATGGTGGAGGGTGTGGATACCCGAGTGGGGAGAGGGCAAGAAGACAGCACCTGGCAGAGAGCAGTTCCCACAGGAGGCAGCTTTCCATGAAGACAGCTCGGCTTTCTGGGCCAGTGGGCAGAACGGGGCAGGCGAAGTGTTCCCTCCCTTCTTCCAGTGAGATGAGGCCACGTTGTTTCATGAAGTAAAACACAGGCAAGCCGCTCTCTTTCCTCTTTCAGTTTGGCTACCTCGAGTGGTAGGAATTCCTGTCAGAGGGGGCAATGCGTTTTTTCAGCTTTGTTGTGAGTTTTCTTTCTTTCCACCTTCAGAGGCGTAGTTACTGCCAGCCAGATGTCAGCAATCCCTTCAATATAGGGCGTGTAGTGGGAAATGAGTTCTCAGGCAGACACAAAAGTGTATGTCATGCATATTCCAGGTTTCATAATTGATGACATCCTCTGCGGAAGGGGAGCAATCACTCCAAGGAAATGAAAATATTAACAGCGTGCTTGTGCTTGAGCTGTGGGGCTAGATGTGATTTAAATATTTTTTTCCTCCTGAAAGAGTTTTCTGAGTAGTTTTTGTTTATGTGCTGTTTTTATAATGACTAGTAAAAGCATGATGCATTCTTAGTCATTGCAGGTTAACTTAAATAAGACGGTTCTTCTGCCTTTGTTTCAGACTGTAGCGCAAGTGTTCACAAGGGATGTAAGGACGCCGCGCCCCCGTGTACCAAGGTGATCGCTCAGTCGTTTGTGAACATTGCGTGTTTATACCTAGCTGGGTTGCTTCGTGTGGTCTGTTTAGGTTTTGCTCTTTTGTTACTGTCTAGATTTATTTCTAAAGTGATAAAATAACATGTGCTCAAAGCGTAGAGTTACTGCCTTAACTGTGTGCTTGTAGATACAGAGGGAAAGCTCCAGTCTGGCCATTTGTGTCATGCGGGTGGGTGGTTAGGTTTTCTGCTAGGGCCTGCGTGGTTTACCAGTGTGAACCCTGGGCACATGTAAATAAGGCAAGAACAGTAATTCACAAACATCAGCAAACCTCAGCATCACGTGGAGGACCTGTTAAAACACGGTTTTCTGGGCCCCACTTCCAGAATTTCTGATCCAGTAGTTCGGGTGGGGCCTGAGAATTCAAATTTCTAATAAGTTCCCAGGTGATGCTGCTGGTCCCAGGACCACCCTGCGAGGCCCCCTGGACTGGAGGAATGTTCTCTGTGAGGGTGGGCTTGAGTAGTGGGGGCCTCTATCATTCAGTTCGTTTCTTTCCCACTCCAAAGTCATGTCAGAAGTGCATGATGAACCTCCAGAGGGAAACCTGGAGTCACCAACGTCCACACTGACTGCAGCCCACGTGGTGTCAGGTCGCAGAGTTGAGGGTGGAGTTTCAGTGCTCAAAGCCTGTGTCCCGGAGGTGGGAGGCACAGCCAGGGGCAGAAAGAGACAAGTGGGGGCAGGGCAGTGCTGATGGGGACTCCCTTTCAGCCTGGGTCTGGACACAGGAGCTGGGGCCTTCTGTTCCCCGGGCTTTTAATAAAGCTGGGATATTCGTGATACATGTGTTCGTGAGGCAGGCCTTCTTCAAACTTGCCCATCTCGTTAGCATAACATTTTCCTCTCTGTTGCATTTATTGTCTTTTGCTTTGAATTCTTCTTTGTTTGAAATAAAATAACAATGAAAGTGACACAGATAAGACTCTGTTCTGTGTAACTGTGTGGGCGTGCTTGTAGTCCGATGGCGCTTTGATCTTATTTTTTGTGTTTCTAATGTTCTTTACCAGAAATCCCAAGAGAAATACAACAAGAACAAACCGCAGACCATCCTTGGAAGTAAGTGATGTGGAAAACAAGAACTTTTTTCAATTTCATACATACTGCACGGCTTTCCAATGTAAAACACCCTCTCCTCTTGTTTTCTCATTTGCCCAATTATTTCTTCTTTTATACCGTAGGCTTGGCATAACTTCTGATTATACAGAGAGGTCAGGAACGGCATAAACTTCTCTGGCAGCCTAATAGCCTCTGTACTACATGTGCGAGATGGCCTTTCACACTGGGGAGGGCTATATGGCCGAGGGATTACTCTCTTACCTCAGTTCTAAGATGCGATCTAGTGTAACACACACTCTTGATTTCATAACAACGTTTTGGGGGAAAAGAGAAACACTACATTAAATGTACATAATTTTGTTTTCCTAGCAGTAGCACATGTTTATCTAGATAAATACACGCTAATGTTTCTTAATAATCCCCGAGTTAGGGAAAAACCTTCCAGTTTGGAATCTCTGGATTCCTGTCAGCCCTGTTGTCCGTCAGCAGAGCAGCCTGGTGCTTTTCAGTAGCTGTGCTGAGGCTGTGGTCTCATCGGCTCCTTTAGGATGACAGTGAAATTACAAGGCACACCGAGTTTTGTTTGCGTGTGGTTAAACTCGGAGGTTCTGTTTTTTCTTGAATTACATATTGCTGAAATTGAAACAGTTTCCCTTGAAAATAATTGGCAGCCTTTGATAGTTCTTTATGTTGCATGTAAGAACCAGTCACACCATCACCTCCTAAGTTTGAAAATCTTTTGATTTATTATGAGAGATTTTTGCAGTTTCTTCTGCCTCAAATATGGCATTGCTTGCCACGTGGCAGGCATTTTAAGTTTGTGGTCTCTTTTCATTTAAGTGTGACCAGTGTTTTAAAAGCCGTTTGAATTAAGGGACAATGAAGTGTGCAGATTCATTGGTGACATGTGATTGGGTGTGATGTCACACATTAGGGTAAGCTAGCGTGGGCAGTAACAACTGTGACATCATTTACTCCCCTGCTTTGACCACAGAAGTCCCTTTGACCTCAGTTGTTAGGTGCTTCTCAATTTCATAAGGTTAAATGTGAAAATAAAAGACATCTTAGAACTGATAAAATACCATCTATTCCTTTTCTTTACTTGGGAGTCATGAGAATAAAATTAAACCATACATGCATAAAATCCTTTGGAATATCCTGAGGTTCCCATATATTCCTATAATATCACAAGATTGAAATATTTTCTGAGAGCCATTTCTAGTATACATCAAATGTAAATGCGTGTATGCCCATGACATTTTAGGACTGACCAGAAAGGTATGGAAGCACCATTTAGTTTTCAGTGGGTGAGAGACCAGCTCAGCTTGGCTTGCAGGTTTCATTTGCCTGAAATTCTTACCCTTAAGAACAACCTCCCCAGCATCATTCCAATCCAGTGACATACTGTGTGTGTGATTATTTGTACACACAATGTGCATTCTAGTAGTGGTGCTAATAACACCTTGCATCCCCTTAAAGCTGGCTCTAAGGAGCACAAGCAGTGGTTTATGGGAAAGCTGTCCTGTTTCCCCATTCCATTTTCTTGCTTGTTTGTGTCATGCCAGCCGCCCACGGTCTCCGAGTGGGTATGCTGAAGCAGACTGCAGCCTGGGCACCAGGAGGCTGTGAAGTAGAAGGGACGTTGAAGCAGGTGTCGGGATGTGGCAGGGAAACTGGCTTCAAGGCCCAGCAGGGACACATTAGGAGTGGCCATTCGAGTGTTCAACCTCCTGGCTTTTAAGCGTCTACCTCTACTTGTGATTACTGCCCTCCGTGAAAACCACATGAAGCATCCATTCTGATTTCCAGATTCTTCATTTAGAGACGTCCCGCTGCCTGCTCTCTCCTTGCACCCTTCTTCCTCCATGCCGATTGGATTGCCGGCCGGGAGGAAAGAAACTTCGGGGCAGGTCCATCCGTTGTCCAGAAGCGTTCCAGGAACCACCTTGGAAAGGTGAGGCTCGGTGTGGTTTTACGTCTTAAGGTCTCAGAGCTGCTGCTGGGGCTGACTCCTCTCGCTCCCTCCAGCTTCAGGAGGTCGGGGCCGTCCCTGGAGTCTGACAGCGACGGGAGCGCCTGGAGAAGCAGGTCTCATTCCGATGAGCTGTTACAGTCTGTGGGCTCTTCTCCCTCCATGGAGTCTTTCTTAATGGAAGGTGAGGGGAGATGTGTGTGTGTTTGCTTGTGTTTCTGTGAGCATTTGCCAAAAGCAATGTTTTCTGAAGGATTTAAGATTGAAACATATTCTTTTGTTCTTTTTAAAAGAATTCTGTTTTGTGGTGTCTGTTACATATAGGTTCTTCTGGTAGAAAGGATGAAAATTTAGCCCCGGAGGAGGCTCCGGGATAGTGACGAAGAAAATGTGATTTTATTTTTAATTGAACATATTCCTAAAAGAGCATGTCGTAAACCTAAGGGGAAGAAATACATTGTGTGCTTGTTATGCTTTAAAAAAACTTTTACAGCTATTGATGAATTGGAATAGGATCGCGCATTAAAAATATGGACTTCAAGTAAGACTGAACTTGCTTGATCTCTGATTTATCCCCATCTGTTGCCTCCTCCTTCTGGGAGAATGAAAGCATTTTTTTTTTTTTTTTTAAAGAGTATGTGTTGTAGGATAGGACTTAATCTGGGGAATTGCTTATTGTATCCAAGCTATGTCAACAAAGGAAGGAAAACCAAATGCAAGAGAAGTAACGAGGAAGGTGTGGATTCTGCCCCAGAAATCTGTTTCTTTTATTTAAACTTAAGGCTTTAAATCCATTGTCATCTCATCTTTACTGCTCTGAGCTGGAATGTCTCCAAGGAGTCTTGTTTGGACAATTAGGATTTAGTTGCCTGAAGAGGGATGTGTGTGTGTTGTCAAATTGTCAGAAGAATCTGTCCTCCCATGTGACTCGAGTCCCTGTGCCTTGAGTCATGTTGGCACTGAAGACAGCAAGGCACGTAAAGAACAAATCCAGTGGACAAGTACAGCGCTCAGATCTGAGTCAAGAGTGCAGAATAACCGGGGGCAAAAGAAATCAGCGAGTTCAAGATTCTGTAGTCCCAGTGTGGACTCCCAAGGTTACCAAAACTGAAACAGAGCAAGTCCAAACAAACGAAAGAACCTTCAAATGTCCTTTTCTTTGCATGGACACAGTCACTGTTTTGGTTCCTGATTCCTCTGCTTTTCTGAGAGCCGTCTTGATTGGAACCATCTCAGCAGCATGGTTTTCAGGGGGTCCACCTGCACATCAGCAATATTTGGACTGAGTTGTGTCTGGGCTCACAGCGGGTTTGTTTGGTGTGAGAGTCCGTAAACACGGGTGTTGTGAGGGTCTGTGTGTGTTATGTGTGTGATTCCACTTCTGGCTTTTCTTTTCTCGTCTAAACACACGTTAGATGTTGTGGATTCGTCCCTGTGGAGTGACCTCAGCAGTGATGCCCAAGAGTTCGAAGCAGAATCCTGGAGTCTTGTGGTGGACCCCTCGTTTTGTAGCAGGCAGGAGAAGGATGTCATCAAAAGACAGGATGTCATTTTTGGTAAGCGTTTCAAATAAGCTCTTTCGGCTGAAGCAGTGTGGTGTGGAGGAAAGAGCGTGGAATTTGAAACCACATGGACCTGGGTTCAAATCCCAATTCCGCCACTTTCTAGTTACTTGATCTCAGATAAAATATTTCACTCACCTGGACCTCAGTTCCTCTGTCTGTAAAATGGGGATAATGATACTCAGGTTTAAAATATTGTGAGGCTTCACTGAGGCATTGTATGTGTCTGGTACGAAGCAAATTTTCTTTCTCATCTCCTTTTCCCGTCTGTTTAGGCATGGCCTGTGCTCCCTTACTGCTTCCACTGTAAGAACCACAGCGAATTGTCACGTATTTAATGTAGGGCAGACAGGGCTGCTGCATATATGGCCTGTAGTTTGCCCCCACACCCCAGGGGTGCCATTCCCATAGACGGCAGGGGACTGTGGCCCCTGGGTCAGGGCAGTGCATGACTGCGTGCTGGAGTCCTCGGTGTGGAGCTCAGCTCTAGTGAGATTTCACCATTTCATGCTGTTTGGCAGCCTGAATTAGAAAGTGAAGTTTAAAAATTTTTCAAGTATAAAATAGATGCTAAAAAGTGGATAGAAGAAGATCCCCTACTCTACAGATGAGACTGGTTCTCAGTTTTCACTAGTCCTCTGTGTGCAAGTATGGGCCGACAGGTCCAGTGGCCCTGAGAGCCCCTTCCCACCTGCGTCAGGTGGGGGTTCTGCAGGTCGGATGATGGGTGAGTGCGCTCTGAAACATGTCCAGGGCTGTAGAGGGGTGAGTTACTTTGGAAAGGAAGATGCTGTCCCCTTGGGTAGTTGTCATGCAGTGTTTATTATACTGTAATTTTTCTTCACTTATCTCCTGTCATATATTATTAAGAATAAGGTAACCCATTTCGGGCAAATTATCATGTGGTGTAGTTCACAGTGTGGCCTTTGGTGTCAGAAAGGCTTGTTCTGGGGAAAATCCTGCACCCTTTCTTCTTCTTTGTCTCTCTTTTAAAGAAGAGGAAAATTATCCCTATTTTTTGGGTCATAATAGAGAATTGCATTAAAAAGATTAAATGAAATGGTTAAGTTCTTAGTACAGAGTAGGTGCTAAAAACACAGTGGGATCTGATAATAATAATTTAAAGTTAGTAGGTTCCCAATTAAACAGATTTTTGTTTATGGTAAAATAATAAACGAAACTACATTTAGATTTGTTTATCCTCCCTGGCTGATATTTTATATTCTTTCTCAAAACATGTAAGTCAGTTTGGAAATACTCATTAATCTAAAACTTGTGGTTCTGGTGCTCCCACAAATTTTGAATTCTTATTTTCTCTAATGACATTTTGAAAATTGAGATTTAATTCACGCGCCATGAGATTCACCCCTTTACAGTGTGCAATCCAGTGGGTTTAGTATATTCATACAGTTGGGCAACCGTCAACCACCATCTGATTCCAGAGCATTTTCATCACTCTGAAAAGAAACCCTGTTCCCGTCAGCAGTCACTCTCCATTTCCTTCTCCCACCAGCACGTGGCAACCGCTGATCTACTTTCTGTCCCTACGGATTTGCCCGGACATTTCGCGTAAATGGAATTGTACAAAATTTAGTCTTTTGTGACTGGCTTCTTTCACTTAGCATACTGTTTTCAAGATTCATGTGTATTGTAATATATATTAATATATCATATATATGTAGTGTATATTTTATGGCTGTATATGTAATATATAAATAATACATATATAATAAAATATGTGTAATATATATTTCATTGTATAGATATACCACAATTTGTTCATCTAATCATCAGTTGTTGATCATTTGGGGTTGTTTCCACTTTTTGGGTCATGTAGTAACTTTATGTTTAACATTTTGAAGAACTGCCAGACTGGTTTTCCAAAGCAGCTGCATCACTTTATATTCCTACCAGCGACGTATGAGGGTTTTAACGTCTCCACGTCCTCACCAACATCTCTTTAATGTCCATCCTTTTTATTACAGCTATCCTAGTGTCTGAGAAGTGGTATCTCATTTTGGTTTTGATTTGCGTTTCCCTGAAGGCTAATGATGTTGAGCATCTTTTCATTGCCTGTTGGCTATTTGTATGTCTCTTTGGAGAAACATCTATTCAAATCTTTTGCCTATTTTGAAGTGGGTTATTATTTTTTTTTATCATTGAGTTGTAAGAGTTCTCTATATATTCTAGACACAAGTTCCTTATCAGATATATGATTTGCAAATATTTTCTCCCATTCCATGGGCTGTCTTTTCACTTTCTTGATGATGTCTCTTCACTTTCTGTTGATCATGACAAATTGTTTTCTCCTGGAGAAAATGGGATTTTGGAGACAGACCCAGAAATAGAAAGAACCTATTGTGGTCTGCATTGAGGAACTTTATTATATTTAATTCAATTTAATTCACCAAGTTAATTGTGCTCCTACTATGGAAAAACACAAAACTGAAAGAAAGAGAGAAAGGAAAGTGGTAAACTAGGTTATATTTTAATAGAGCATTTAGGAGAGACTAAGACCTGGTTCCAGCTGAAGGTACCTAAAGATGTTAGCTGGTTATATCCTGAGAGTTTCAGATGTATTGGATTCTCATGTATTGGACTGGATTTATACATGTCCTCTTATAATTTCTAGGAGAAAGAAAATAGTTTAGTATTTTGAGCTTACGTTAGATGTTTAATCAAAGCCGACTTTTATAGTGGAAGAATATTGTTATTCCTAAACATTCCTTCTTTTTAATTTGTGTAACATGCAGTGGTTAGCTACTAATTTAGGTCAATAGGGATACTTTTTTATTGAGGTCTAGTTGGCATATAACGTTATATTCGTTTTGATTCGATTTGATATTTGTATATATTGCAAAATGACCACCACAGTACGTTTAGTTGACATTGGGGTACTTGTTTCTTTAAAGCTTGTTTCTGCTCACCTGTTTCAGAGCTGATGCAGACAGAGATGCATCACGTCCAGACTCTGTTCATCATGTCCGAGATCTTCAGGAAAGGGATGAAAGAAGAGTTACAGCTTGACCACAGCACTGTGGATAAAATCTTTCCCTGTCTAGACGAGTTGCTGGAAATCCATAGGCATTTCTTCTACAGTATGAAGGAGCGAAGGCAGGAATCCTGTGCTGGCAATGACAGGAATTTCATCATCGACCGAATTGGAGACATTCTAGTACAACAGGTGAGAAAGATGTAAGGCTAAAAACCTTAAAAACCTAATGATTTGCCCACTCTCTACAGTACTAAAAACCTATCGAGAACTGGAATTGGTTTCATTACAGTTGTTGACAGATGAGTTTGGTTGATTTTCTTTTATTTGATGTTGGTTTGTTTACTGATGCCTGAGAGCTTCTAACAGGCCATGAATGGCTCTTCTGCATGTCACAGAACTTGGCTGGGTCATCCCTGGCCACCAGGAGTCCCAGCTATAAATAAATCCCATATGGAAATTCTACTTAGACTTCTTGATGTGCTGGGCTCTCTAACGACATGGCTCCACCAGTGGCCCGTGATAGTCTCACCCACATCCCCAGGACAAACGCTGGCTCATCTTAGGAGGACGGAGGCAGACCTGTTAGCATTAAAGCCTGGGAGCTCAGGCCTGGGGGACAAGGCAAGCAATCTCACTAAAAAGAGGCACTGTTTAGGTGCTCGGGATGTTTGAAGCATCAGTGAGAATGGGCTGCAGCACTCTTCTTATAAAAAACAAAACTTACTTGTGACAATGGCCAACTGATCTCTCTGGTAGGGGCTCTCCACTGAAAGCATGCTAATATGGAAGTTAAATAACATGTGTCCAGCGACCACAATATGGCAGGCACTTTTAGGGTACTTTCATCATATTACCCCACTTAACCTTCACAACACTGTGAGGTAAATATCATTTTCCCCATGGTACATATACGAAAACTGAGGCACAGAGAAGGTACTGACTTTCCAAAATTCACACATCTCGTAAGTGACATAACTGGGATTTGAATCAAAATCTGCTCTTTCAGCAATGAGTTACGAATATGGTACCTTGAGACATCCATAGTGACATTCAGGGAAGCCTTTCACCATCGCGAGTCTGTAAGTCCTAGGAAGGCAGGGAGCCCTGTTGATGCCATTCCTACCGTATTTCAGTACCTAGAACAGTGCTTGGTACTGTAAATATTTATTGAGTGAATGGGTCACTTTTGAAAAGAACACTAGGAATTCACTTGAATGCCCTCTTTTGCAGTCGCTCACAGCACTTGGGGAAAGGCGTGGAGATCCATTCCTAGTTACCTTACTTTGGCTTTCTGTAGGTGGATGCCAAAACATCATCTCCTAATTATTAATGTTGAACCCATTTTACCGTGTTACACACAGCAGTGGAGTTCACCTGTTAGTCTGTAGGCAGAAATGGGGGAGTTAAGTTCATTGATATAAATATGCTTAAATACAAATATTTTTAATGCACAAACCCCACTTAATAGCCCAATAGCTACTTCTCCATGTCTAACATTGTAAAAATCCACACGAGTAATAAGTTTTTAATCCGAGTCATTGGCTCTGCAGATGATCTTTAAAGTCCTGGACCTGTCCGTCCTCAGGATTCCCCTGAAACATATAGTGCCAGGTTGAGAGACTGTAAAGGGCTTTGCAAGACAGTTGGATAACAACGTCTGCAGGTGTCTGAGTGAACTTGAATCTGTGTGTGTTCAAAACTCAAGTGCAAGATGATCTTGTCATTTGAAGTTATTTGCATCTTTCTTTCCTTGATACAGATCATCGTGATTTTTCATTCTAATCACTTAAAATATTTTCATTCTTACGTCATTACTTTCATAGTTAACAAAAATTTTGCATCTCTACCTGTTCTATTTTTACGTAATTTCTGTGGATAAAAGTAGGGCTTAAACTGAGACCCAGTTTGGGGAAGTTGGCTCTCTCACAAGGTGAGCCTGGTGGCCTTTTGGATGAAGCCCATTCTTCTCCTTTGGGGAAAGATCCTTGGTGTTCAGAGAAAAGGATTTAAGTCTGCTTTTGTGTTCCTGTTGGTGGCCTTGCATAGTGGGTGCAGCAGGGCGTTTCCCCAAATACTGTGTGAATACAGTTGTTTCCTGAGGGATAAACTAACAAAATCCCTAGACAGTCAGGGTGGGACAGCTCTGTGGGAACAAAGGAAGAGCAAGCTATTTAAGGATGTCTGAGAGAAGAGTTTGGGGCAATCCCACACTCTGACCGTGGAGACTCCACAAGGTCTCAGGAGGCTGGGCTGGAACGTGATGGTAATTCAGTCAGCGGGAACTTTTGGTGTTAGTGAGAAATTGTGAACATGAGGAACCTGGTTGGTATAAAGCAGCAGTTTTCCAACTTCAAGTGCACGAGAATCTCCTGAAGCTTGTTAAAAATGAGGAATCCTCTGCTCCGACCCCCTGGGTGTTGATAGGATTGGGGTGGGGCTTGGGATTTGGCATTTTTTAATTTATTTTTTAAATTATTTTTTACCCCAATGGTAACATCTTTCAAAACTATAATACATTACGACAACCAGGATACCAGTATAGATACAGTCAAGATACAGAACATTTCTACCACCACAAAGACTCCTCATCTGGCCATTTTATAACCACACCTGCTTCTGCCATGCTCTTACCTCCTCCTCAGCTGCTGGCATCTGTTCTCTGTTTCTGGAATAATGTTCTGTAAATAACATACATGTTACATAGTTTACATACACAGTAAGTAATCTCTTTTGGAGTAGCTTTTTTCGCTCAGCATAATTCTCTCAAGAATCATCTAGGTGGTGGTGGATCACAATAGTTCCTTCCTTTTTATTGTTGAGTGATATTCCCTGGTATGGACATACCACAGTGTATTTCATCATTCACTGTAGAAGGGCATCTGGTTGTTTGTAGTTTTTGGCTATTACAAATAAAGCTTCTACAAATATTCATGTACAGATCTTTGGGCAAACTTACACTTTCATTTCTCTGGGATCAATGCCTGGGAGTGCAGTTTCTGGGTTGTGTGGTGATGGTGTATTGAGTTTTGTGAGAAAGTGCTGATTATTTTCCAGAGTGGCTGTACCGTTTTACATTCCCAGCAACAATGTACAAGTAATCCAGTTTCTCCGCACCCTCACCAGCATTTGTTGGTGTCCCTAAGTTTTATTTTAGCTGTTCTGAGAGGTGTGTAGTGATATCACATTGTAGTTTAAATTACAATTCCCCAGTGACTTACAATGTTGAACATCTTTCCATGTGCTTATTTGCTGTTTGTATATCATCTTTGGCGAAATGTCTCTTCATGTCCTTTGCCCATTTTCTAATTGAATTCTTTGTTTTTTTACTTTTGAATATTGGGATTTCTTTATATATTCTAAATACTAATCTATTGTCAGATGTGGTTTGCAAATATTTTCTCTGTCTAACTTGTTTTCTCATTCTATAATTATAGCGAAGTCCAATATATCAGTTTTTCATTTTAAAGATCATGCTTTTGGTGTCAAGTCTAAGAATTTTTTGTCTAGCCTGAGGTCCCAAAGATTTTCTCCTATTGTTTTCTTAAAAGCTTTGTATTTTATGTTTTAAGTCTGGGATCTATTTTTTTGTTTTTGAGGAAGATTAGCCCTGAGCTAACATCTGCTGCCAATCCTTCTCTTTTTGCTGAGGAAGACTGGCCCTGAGATAACATCCATGCCTATCTTCCTCCAGTTTATATGTGGGACGCCTGCCACAGCATAGCTTGACAAGCAGCGTGTACGTCCATGCCTGGGATATGAACTGGTGAACCCCGAGCTGCTGAAAAAAAACGTGTGAACTTAACTGCTGCGTCACTGGGCTGGCCCTCTGTGATCTGTTTTGAGTTAATTTTTGTGTAAGATATGAGACTTTGGTTGAGATTCTTTTTTTTTTTTTTTTTCTTGGCCTGTGGATGTTCAATTCCTCCAGTGAGTTCCTTTTGCCCTCTGTCAAAAAGCAGTTTGGCATTTTGGGTTCCTATTCTGTTCCACTGATCTGTGTGTCTATCCTTCCACACAGTGTTAATTACTGTAGTTATATGACTAATCTTGAAATTGAGTAGATTGGGTCCTTTCACTGTATTCTTCTTTTTCAAAATTGTTTTTAGCTATTCTAATTTCTTTATCTTTTTGTATAAATTTTAGGATAATCTTGCCTATATCTGCAAAAAAATTTGTGGGATTTTGATAAGAATTGCGTTAAACCTGTATATTAATTCTGGGAGAATTGACATCTTTACTGTGTTGAATCTGCCAATCTACGAACGTGGCTTACTTCTCCATTTATTTAAATCTTCTTTGATTTCTTTCTCTAGCTTTGTGTAGTTTTCAGCATACAAGTCCTGTATATGTGTTTTGTTAGATTTGTCTTTAAGTATTTTCCCTTTTTTGAGTGATTATAGATATTTTAGGGATCATCTCTTGAGACATATTCGTCTCAAGCATAGATAAAACTGTAAGCAAAGATACAAAGACCAGCAATGGTGAGGTAACTTTCAAGTACTTTCCAAGGGAGGGGTGAATGTGTTCTGGTTTCTGTTGCACTGCTCTTCAGCGTGGACATGTGTACATAGGATTGTCAGAGTCTGAAACACTGGCATTCAAATAATTCAGCTAATTCTCTCCATACCACTTTATGATTCTAAGTTGGTTCCCATGTAGATTGTGTACACACATTTTTCTACAGGTCAAACTTATTGAAATATCCAGTCCACATCTCTACTTCTATCCATCAGTTAATAAATTGGCCTTGTGACTAATCATTTTTCTCTATCATCTTGGTGAATGATAACTTGCCTCTTGATCTATTTGTGATGTGCTGACAAAAGTCAAATTCCCAGCTGAGGACCGGGTTCATGGACATAATCAGTGAACCAATGTAAATGTCAACCGGTGAGAGGTCATACCTTCCAGAGGACTCCCAAAAGTTGCCACATACCCTTCCTTCAATCTATAAAAGTATTAAAACTATAAATTGAAATGATAGTTGCACAAACACTAAAAAAAGAATAAAAGATACTAAATATTTTTCATTTGGCTATTGATAATCAAATTAGTATTATCTGGGGAAGAGAAGTGATTGTGTTCATAATTTATTTGCAAAGAATGTATTGAAATATATGAAAATTTCCTGTTTTAAGTGTTTAGAGCTGACTAAATTTGTAAACTGTCATTGAAATGTTATTCTTCTCAGTTTTCAGAGGAAAATGCAAATAAAATGAAGAAAATATATGGAGAATTCTGTAGCCATCACAAAGAAGCGGTTAGCCTCTTTAAAGAACTCCAGCAGAATAAAAAGTTCCAGAATTTTATTAAGGCAAGTATTTTAAAAGTCTATCACAGTGTGGTAGACCAACATGGGAAAGTAGTTTATGTCTTTTCTTACACGATCTAACCACGTTTCACATCTAGGTGCTGTTTTTCAGGGGAAGAAGGAAGTGATAGGTTTTTAGTAAGGATAGAAAATCTCTTTTTCTATGTCAGTAAAATATTTCTCCCAAATCATTTCCTTTTGTATCTTCTATTTGTGAAATTGTGTCCTCCAAGTTTCTGGGCACCTTTGTAATATCCTGTGAAGCTGTTTCATGTCCTGACAAGCTATAAATCAGAGAAACCACAATAAAAATAAAGACAGAATTCACCCCACCCCCACTGGATTAGTTTGAAGCAAGTCTGTGACACACATCATTTCATGTGTAATACGTATCTCTAAGCAATGTATCTTTAGAAAACTACAATGACATTATCACACTTAAATAAATTAACAGTAATTCTTTAGTATCTTTAAATAGCTGGCCAGTATTCAAATTTCCCTGATTATCTCATAACGTTGGATTACTGAAATCAGGATCTGACCACGATCACATTTGTATATATATGTTACATATAGCTTTATAGGGTTATAGCTTTTAAATCTCTTTTAAATTGAATGCTCCCCATCCCTTTTTTTGGTGTCTCATTTATTTGTTGAAGAAATTTGACCTTTAGAGTTTCATGAATTCTGAATTTTTATCTACCATTGTAAGAATGCTACCAGATTCTCGTCCTTTTTTTTTTGTTTGTTTGTATGTGTATTGAAAACTTAAGGAATACTTTTAGTTTTTTTTAAAAGGTTGCCCTGATTAGAGGGAACTTTAAGTCTGTGATGAATCATAACAAACGTAAGAGAAGAAAATAGTTGGGAAAGCAAATAGTTAATTGCAAACTCACATTGAAAATCTAACTTTGATTTCTGAGCATTTTTCAAAACTGTTGCTGTTCATGAGTCTCAGCAACTGTAAGTATTGGAACTTGCTCACTTTTGGAATTAACTACAAATACAATAGTAACTTGAAACATTGAAATCTTGGAGAGTTGGGTTATTGAAATTAATGACTGTACCATTTAATGACAATGTATTTTAATTAATGATAATGAATGTTATATTACGTCTAAGTAGAATTTTACTGTTGCAAATTCTTTGTGTTATTAAATTCACACCTGAAAAGAAAATACAGGTAGAGTTTGTGTATATAAAAATGTATGTCTATCTTTTAAGCTCCGAAGTAGTAATCTTTTGGCTCGGCGCCGAGGAATTCCAGAGTGCATTCTGCTGGTCACTCAGCGCATCACAAAATACCCTGTCTTGGTGGAAAGGATATTGCAGTACACAAAGGGTGAGTGATGACTTCTGGGACAAGCATTTGCCTCTTCAAAAGTTTTAAACATAGCTGAGGTGTCGTAAACAGTTATAAATGCTTGTGGCCTCTGAGTCATGGAGACTTTTCGTTATGGAAAATCTGTTAAAGCCTTAGGATTTGGATCCATTTTGAAAAGTTCTCTCTTACAGCGCAGCTTGACCACCACTCAGAATTCCTCCAAGCAGCCCAAAGCAAGCAGCCTCCTTCCTTCTTTGACCCTGGCTTTTCCTTCTGTATTTTCACCGTCTCCAGACCTCCTTAAGGCTTGTTCTTCCTCATCTTCCTGGTCCCTTCCCAGCGCCTGAGGGAATATGTTCGACTGATCCTATCACCAAATGTCAGCTCTCCCAAGCAAGGAATTATTAGGTTGAGAAGGATTTTTGAAGGAGCTATTTTTGACCCTGTCGATTCATCAAGTTCCAGGGAGTAACATCTGGGCACCCTTTAAGAAGCTATTAATGTCATGGTTGTCTGCAGGCTCCTTGAGGGGTCTTGAAGGTGTGTGTCTGTCTTGTTCACAACTGGATCTTCAATGCCTCATGCAGAGGCTGGTACAAAATAGGCTATCAATGAATGAATACATATCAGTTCAAAATGAATAAATGAAAATGCCTGTTCCTCAAGTGAGCTTATTGATCTTGAGTAAATTATCCTTAGATTGGTAGTGTGCTCCGTTAACAGGGGCTTGGGTCCAGAGTTGGGCAAACTTGCATTGCCTTTGCTTATACTTGGCTCTGCTGCTCATTAGATGGGCAAGTTAATTAAATGAGCCTCAGTTTTCTCCACTACCAAATGAATAATAATCCTTACCTTATGGAACTGTAAGGATTAAATGAGATTGTCTCTGAAAGTGCTGAGTGTAGAGCCTGCTATAAACAAGGTGCTCCATAGGTGGGAGCTGTTTTTATTATCTTTATTATGATCAATTGATTCAGAAATAATGAAAATGGTAATGAGATCTTAAACGCCCACTCTAAAAAAGTCTGCTTCTAACATCCTTTTTTGGAAGGGGTCTGGGTGAGTAGAAATGCATGATTAAGTCTTTCCGTTTTTTCAGTCACATTGGGAACTAAGTTCAGGCAGGAATAGTAGCGTCTATTCTTTGTGTCACATTTTTATTACTCCCTATAATTTAACATAGAAGAAAATACAAGCACAATATAAAGAGAAATACCTCAAAGACTAAGATCTGTCCGACTGTGTTAGCTTACCTAGTGGTACTCTGAGAATCACCCATGCCAAGGTCCTGGTAAAATGGATAGCACAGATTCCCTCCTCCTGAGCGTCAGAAATGAAAAGTAGGACCCATGGCTCCTCAGGCACAGCTGTCATGGTGGCTGAAGGGGCGCCACCTCCTTAGGTCAGACCTCACCAACTGTCAGCTCTCCCTCTCCCTGGCTTCCCGGAGCATTGGTTCTTGTGACTCTATTATGACAGTGCGTCTCAAACTTTGTTAGGTGCGCCCTTCACCTGGGGATCTTGTTTACATGCAGACTCCGAGTCAGGAGGCCTGAGGTGGAGCCCAGGGTGAGACGCCCAGGCGAGGCCGATGCTGCTGCACTTTGAGGAGCAAGCTCTCGTGAGACAGGGATTTGCCCCTGAGGAGCAGAAGGCTTCGAGCCTTTTCTTGGTCTCACCCCGTCACCTTGTCCCTCACCTTTGATTTTCTCTACTATGCTCTTTGAAAAGAAGAACCTTTTTTGGAGGGGGGGGGCTGTTTGGTGCAGTAAAATAGTAAGGACTATTCCTAGGCGATGGGAAAGGAAGTATCTTCCTTCTTGAAGATGGGTGTCGGGATCTGTTCCTTGAGGTTTGCTGACAAAATCCTCAAGTATCTGTGTGAGCATTTACGTTGAGACCTTTTGTTCTCGTTCCGCTTGACTGCTGTGTCTACCGCTCCAGGTGCGAGGGGACGTCTTACTTCCTCTTCTCTCCTTCCAGCACCTTCTGACCTCCTCAAACTTTCCCTTTCAGTTCCATTCACCTCAGTAAACATCAACTAGGTATTTTTATCCTTAAATATAGACAATAGCTGAATTCAGTTTCATCTTGAGTTTCAGGAGGCTGTTCCAGAAACTCCTCCAGTTTTTCCTTCTGATAATCTAGAGATAAGAGCAGGTGGTCAGTGTTTGAAAGAGTAACACCTGGAGTCGATGATCACCTATACTGTTGGCATGAGCAAGGCTGACTTACCCACTAGGCAGAGTGCCTTGGTCCCATTTTTTAGGTTGAAAAAATGTTTTAATATATCTTGTTAATATATTCATCTTTATGCTAATACAGCTGCAAAATATTTTGAATATTTTTATGGAGGAAAGGCTCCAGGAAGGCACGTGAGTCTGAGGCCCATTCCAGTGACCCTGCAGCTCTGGTTTATGAAAGGAGTCCGACTTGGGCCCCTGGCTCGCTTAAGTGCTGAGAAAGTTGGAGTTGGGATTGCTTGATTCCCTGTCTTTGGGAAGGTGAAAGGAAGGCCCACGTTAGTGTATGACGCATTCCCTGCTCTAGGGGGAAGGCCAGACCAGTCCCTGGAAATCAGCCATCTTATTTTCAGTGTTTCAGCTGGAGCACATCTGATAAGTAAATTTTTTATGTTTAAGTATGTTAATGATATTTTTGGGAAGAGGGGTACAGAGTGATAATATAGTACTTGAATTATTTTTGGTGGGGAAGATTGGCCCTGAACTAACTAACATCTGTTGCCAGTCTTCCTCTTTTTTTCCCTCCCCAAAGCCCCAGTACATAGTTGTATATCCTAGTCGTAAGTCCTTCTCGTTCTTCTATGTGGATGCCGCCCCAGTGTGGCTTGAAGAGCAGTGTGTAGGTCTGTGCCTAGGACCCGAACCAGTGAACCCTGGGCCACCAAAGCAGAGTGTGCAAACTTAGCCTCTGGGCTGGCCCCTAGTATTTGAATTTAATCCAACATTTTTGTTATGGGATTTTTCCTATTTAGATGGTACATTTAACTGTATTTTTAAAAAAGTCTTCCTTAGCGCTCTGACTTATTGTATAGTGTTTTTCTTTCTTTTTCCTGTGCAGAAAGAACTGAAGAGCATAAAGACTTATGCAAAGCTCTTTGCTTAATTAAAGACATGATCGCAGCAGTGGATTTAAAAGTCAGCGAATATGAGAAAAACCAAAAATGGCTTGAGATCCTAAGTAAGATCGAAAACAAAACATACACGAAGCTCAAGAACGGCCATGTGTTTCGGAAGCAGGCGCTGCTGAGTGAGGAAAGGACCCTGCTCCACGACGGCCTTGTGTACTGGAAAACGGCCACGGGCCGCTTCAAAGGTACCGTGCTTCTACAGACTGCTTTCTCCTCCTTTCACACACGTTACTCATTATCACAGGACAGATTTTCAAAAGAGAAATGGTTCAGAGATGCAGGCACACACACAAAGCCCGGGTCGGTGGAGAGATTCCTGTAGGATCGAGTTGGGAATTTCAACAGGCAAATGTGGCCAATGCTACAAATCTTTGGTGGGGGTTTGCTGCCTGAGCAAAAGCCTTCAGATGTATTTTGTGAATTTACAAGTTTGTGATGTTTGAATCAAAGGAACTAAGAATTCTGCTTGTTGTTGGCACAGAAGTATCATTCTGATGAAAGTGAGGTGGTACACCCAGAGTCTGCTGTGTGCCCAGACAGCCCCGGCTGTCAGACCATTGAAGGGAGAAGTGAACTCTGACTGTCATCTTTGTTCCTGAGTAATACAATGCACAAATATACACGTTGACATTGGTGTAAACTCTTCCTCAGGGCTACCGTCTGATAACGGGCGTTAACTGGACTCTGGTAATCTGGCTAGAGTCTACAACAGTTCATTCTGATTCTTCAGGGCTGAGTCTGTAGTCATCGCCTTGCCTGGTGCAAGCGTTCTCAACCCTGGCCACACACAAGAATTGCCTCTGGAGCTTAAAAAATTACTGATGCTCAAGTCTCCCCCCAGAGATTCTGATTTTATTGGTCTGGGGATGAAGCCCGAGCATAGAGATGCTTAAACCTCCCAGGTGTGTGTGCAGCCAGGGTGAAGAACCACTGGTCCCCTCTCCTTGTTTTTAATACTTAATAACTTTCGTAGGTAATCAACGAGAGGAAGAGGTGGTTAAATTCTGGTTACTCAAGGTCATCACCCATTGGAGGATTATCTAGTTTTGGTGGTGGTTGCAACTAATGACTGAAATAAGATTTGTTGATCAGCAACTTGCAATGTTGCAACTAAACGATAACCACAATTAGGCTGTTAACTAGACTAAAATATTAACCCCAATCTGGAGATCCTCTTGCTCCGAGTCGTTTGTTCTTTATCTGTTTCCTAGAATCAGCAGTTTGGTAACTTGGTGTGAGAATGTTTGGCGGTAGTGACGATGTGTTCTCGTGAACAGTTTGTAAGGGAAGCACAGGGTCTCATGCTCTCTCAGGTCCAGATGGAACAGAATAACATCATGCAAGATAGAAGCTGCCTTCTGACAGTTTTAATTAAGCATTTTTCCCCCTAATCATAAGGGCTTCATTCTATTAGGACCTTCCTTTTTATTGGATATTTTTCTTCTGTTTTGAAAGCTATAACATTAAATTTTGCTGGCAATTTAGCTTTACAGTTAGCAAACATGCACCCTTATTAGAGAAGCTGCATTTATCTATAAAATGCATCTTTGCCTATCATGATACAGGCATTTTTGTAAAAGTTTTATAGTTAGACTAAATCTTAGACTTTTAATTCTTAATACATTTATTTAGATGTCAAACATGAAATCGGAATATGTACTTTGAGCCGTGGCGTGCTTCATTAACCCTGGCAATGTTTTTTCTTTGAAGATATCCTCGCTCTCCTTCTCACTGATGTGCTGCTCTTTTTACAAGAAAAAGACCAGAAATACATCTTTGCAGCCGTTGTAAGTATATGGCCATGTGATGCATATTTTAAATGGTTTAATCCCACATCTCCTTACAAAATGCCCCAAATTCCTAGAGACATTAAATAGTAATTGGCAAGAATATGCCCCTGTTATATTCCCATTATTGTTAGTGATTGCGGTGTTGGGTAACAAACATCTAACTGGGTTTTAACTAGGATGATAAGTGTTGAGTTATCACAGCCAGAACAGGTAGTCATCTGGTTCAGCAGTTTAACCAGCTGTGAAAATACGGAAGTACTTTGTTGTGGTTGGTGAATGTGGCCCTCTGCCGTCTGCCTCTCTGGGTCTTTCCCCTAGACTTCCTTCCCCCCGACTTTCCAGCAGCTCAGATGTTGATGCTGGGAACAGCAGGTCATTCTGGCGCCTGCTCTCTTTTCCCCTTGGACGGTGCCTGCTGCACCTGTTGCTAACCCCATTCGTGACTGTCAGGATGCTCCTTCTGCCAAATAGGAGAACACTATCCTGGTATCTAGAGTTTAAAGAAGATTCTTTCTTATTTCTACTCTAATGGCTACTAATTACTAAGGTTATTGATATAACACTTATCTTTATGGTATATTATTAATCTCGTTGCCAGCACAGAGTTAGACTTAGACTAGCAGTAAAACTAGCATTTGATAACGTTTTTTTACATAGCATCTTGTGGTCCAAAATGACTCACTTAAAGAAGGAAGACGTCATCAATTAACTCCTTGCCGGCATCATGGAACATCAGGCCCTGCTAGCAGAAAGAATCTAAGATGCAGTACCAATGTGGCCGGTCTCATGGTGGCTCTCTATACTCTAGGATTTGTCATCCATTGTCTGATAGGATGTTCAGGTACCATTAGCAGATATCAATGCCAACTGATTTTGGCAAATTCAAGCCTAATGAATTTCCTGTTTTGCTGTCCAGAGCAAACAAAGAAACGCCTGCGCGGCGATGGGTTCTGGGGAGGAGGAGGCTGGGGCAGTGCCTCACCCGCCATCTGTGCCCGTTACTTTAGCCCAGTCAGCTTCTCGCCCTGCTCAGCACATTGCCTCTCATCAGCAGAATGATGCCAGGTTGGATAAAGGTCAGAGACTTTCACAAAGCTGCGCCAGAGGATAACGAGAGGACTTAAACGAGTCCCTGGGTCCCTGGTCCATTTGAACTGTATATACTGCAGATTTTGTGACAACCTGCTGGTGTGTCCAGCAACCTCTCTCTGCTGTTGTCTGGGATGCTCTGAAAGAAGACAGAGTAAAGTAAGTGGGAAAGCGGGACAATTTTGTTTGACCTGTGGGGTGCTGAGGGCCATGTTAGACGAGAAAACAAATTTATTCCACATCTTTATAGAAACAAAGATTTCTTCAAAACCAAAGACTTGGAGGAGAAGCAAATCCTGCTGCTCGGGTGGTATTACAGGCCGAATGACCTGCTGATGGGTCAAGAATTAGACATAGCATGAAGACAGCTATCTGGTTTTCTAGGACAACATAGCATGTGGATTCAGATCATGCTGTGATGCTCAACTTACAGTACGACTTGACAAACGGATCTGTCCCTCTCATCTGAGTTCTTGAAGAGTTACCTCTACCATAGACCACATTTACCGTTAAATGGGACATTAGGGATGCCGTCCACCAAATGCCAGAATGAAGGCAGCCACAACCTAGCTCCTCTCGGTAGAACGTGTTTGTCTACAGACCACAGGCAGATGATGCTGATACAGTTTCCTGAAGATGTTAGCCTGACATGTAGCTACATTTGTAAAAGCCAGCCAGCCCTTGTTGATGTCAGCGAGCCAAAGGGAAAGCATTCTCCTCAAGTTCACCCTACTGTTCAATCATATGCTTTTTACTTCCATCGTATACATTTAGTTGACCAAGCCCATTTGTCATAAATACCTTATAGTTAAAGTCTTAAGGGAATTGTTGCATTAGCTAGAGGCTGGTATTCGTATTTTAGAAAGTTATCTGTACACTAATATCCACAGGGGAGATTCTGTGTCCCTTGTGCTATGAAAAAACTTCTTTGGGAAATGTTTAACTTTTCACCTGTTACAGACAACACGATGAATTGCTAAATGGCCAGGAGAATAAGCCAAAAGTAGCAAGAGGATGGAGTAGCTTCCCTCCAAGAGAATTTTGTTTGTTTTTGAGAAGGACTCCGCTAGAAATGGGAGTAGGACCCAAATCTACGAAATGAATAGGAAAAAGTAGATATGTTCACTAAATCCCGGTATACTGAGTCTAGGAGATCCTCTTGAGTATCAAAGAAGGTAATTTCAAAATGAATGAACTATAAAACAGACAAAGTAAACATGTAGATGCACAAGTACAAAAACTCAAAATGTGAAGCGACCTTAAGATCTTGTTATCATGGTGGAATCCTGAATGGACTCGCTCATAATGGAATCAGCCACTTTATGGAATCACAGATGGATATGGGGTAACAATGGGGCCAAAGGAAGCAGCCCCTTTTCCTCTTCCTCTGTGGCAGAGGCCATCAACTCCAATGCCTAGGGGGTTGGTTAGGAAATGTAAATAGGTTAATTGGCCCTGGCTCCGTATCGAGGAGCTGATGGAGTGGTACGAACTGTGGAGAACTGGCGAGAACGTGCCCCCTTGCAAAGAGGGCAGGGATCACTCAGCTATAGCCAGTGTTTTAAATGAGGATATGGGCCCAGCATTGCCAATCTTCTGCTTTTCCCAGAAATCTAGAGTGTTTTTTAAAAAGTGAAATCGTCTAGTTTTTAAATGTTGGCAACTATTCCAAAAAATCTGTTTTTTAAATCTTGTGGCACAAACAAAACATGTCTGCAGGCTGGGGTAGGTCCTTGCATCACTAGTTTTGACACCCGTCTCCAAAGCAGACGTGGAACCTACATTCCGGAGATGTGATTTGGATTCTTGTTCATCTCTAACATTCGTGTGTCATTTGAACGCACGTGGCATGTCCCTTAAGCCTCCTGGTCTGATGGTGATTTAATTAATGCTGCTTTCTACCCTCTTACCTACTTTTCACTTTTAAAACATCAGACCCCCATCACCTTCCCCCTGCCTGCAACGCTAACCAACTAGTTCAAATAATTCTGCTCTTGTGGACGTCATCAGCAGCCCACAGCTGCTCTGCCTCTGTATGTACAGAGGCCTTTTGCCTTGTAGCTGAGGACACTAAAACTGCATTGAAGGAGGGAGAGCAGATAAAGCCTTGGATACTAGATCCCTAATTGAGGAAAGGATATGAACAGTGCCCAGGGGCCCTCCGAATTGGAGAGGGCAGTGTGCAAAAAGCTCTGCCACACAGCTGCGTTTGCTTCCACTGCAGAGACACAGCAAGGCCTTGGGTGGACCGGTGCTCTGTCCCCTTATGGTGCATATACGTGTTTTTTCTACTCAAAGAAGAATGGGGTGAAGAGGTATTCTGGGTGCACCCTTGCATGCAACTTCAGACGTGGTAGAGCTGTGTGATGCTGGGAAAGCAGACAAGTCAGCACTGAGGAGTCAGCAGTTCTGGATGAAGGCGTCACTCAGTCCGTGAGGGAGGAGCAAAGCCACATACTGCGACCGACTGCAAACAGTGGTGGAAGCCACAAACCAAGGAAGATTCTCCATGTTTACCCCTAGAACTGTTCTTCCAACAAGCATTCCTTTGGCTATTCTTTCAACTACAGCTTCCCACCCAAATTAGTATTATCAGTATCTTACTCTTTTTTGAATCCCCAGCGCTTAGGATGGGACATGGAAGGATGATGTTGGTAGAAGAGGTGATTTAACCATGGCTTGGATGACGAATTTTAGACTTTCCTCCTATTTCCCTCTGATGGAATTATGCCAAATCTAGTTCTCAGACATGTATTGAATGCCTACTCTATGCTAAGCACCATGCTGGGCATATGAAGATGAATTAGACCCGTTCCTGCCACCAGGCACTTGCTGGTTGACGGGCAGAAGAGGCATTTGCAGGCAGAACTATAGACGTCGTGTTGCTGTGGTCTGCACTGCGATAGCAGAGCGCATTGGTTGTGTGTGGGAATGTAAGGTCTTGCCTCCTCATTCTTACCTTTCGTTTTCACAGTCTGCCCCTTGGTACTCTAAATCCAATGGACTCTCTAGGCCGGCCATCCCTCTCAGTCTCTGTAATATTTGATACACTATTTCCTATCCCATGCCCTTCTAGAAAAATCCCTCTACCCTTGACTATGGCATTCTGATATTTTTTTCTTACCACTCTGATTGTTAGCTTTTTAAAAGTTGTCCTTTTAAACCACCGCTTCTTAAAGACATTCTCCTGCACCCTCTTTTTCCATCCTCTTTTCACCATACTCTTTCCATCGGAGAGCTTATTGGCTCCCACGGCTCTTTTGAAGAGGTTGAAGTGAAATAGGTTTGCCTAATGCTGTTGCTTTCCTTAGCTGATGTGTGTTGTGAGACCCTTCCTTTCGATAGGATGCAGCTTCATCTGCACATCCTCCTATTTTGCGTAGGATCAGAAGCCATCCGTTATTTCCCTTCAGAAGCTTATTGCTAGAGAAGTTGCTAATGAGGAGAGAGGAATGTTTCTGATCAGTGCTTCATCAGCTGGTCCTGAGATGTATGAAATTCATACCAATTCCAAGGAGGAACGAAATAACTGGATGAGACGGATCCAACAGGCAGTGGAAAGGTAACATCTCCTTCTGTCCATGAGCTCGGGAATGGACTTGTTCACTTGCGGGAAATATTCTAACATGTCTCCCCTTGCATGAAAACTTTGCCTCAGCCAGAATGGTCTGCTCCCTGCCCCCTGCACCCACCTGCGATAGCCCCTCACCTGCAGCTTTGTTCTCCGCACCTCCCTGCATGCAGTGCCCCACCTCCCCTCTGCCTGTGTGAATCTTGCCCATCTCTGGTGCAGCTCACGGCTCGCCTCCTTCGTGAAGACCTCTTCAGTTCCAGCGGTCTCTTCCTTACCTGAAATTCTTTAACACCCGCTCTCTAAAGCATTTATTTGGTGCTTGTCATATCCTGCCTTGTAGCTATTCTCTTCTTTTATGTATATGTGTTTGTGTATTAGACTGGAAGCTCCTCGAGGGCAGGGACCATGTCTTATGTTTGTCTGAATAATTCTGAAGAATCATTCAATAAACGTCTTTGGGTTGGTGGATCCAAGTGTTCTAAGTCAATTTACTTCTCTTACTTGTACAAGGACAGCTTTTATAACTGGGGGTGTGAGGGTGAAGTGATCATTCTTAAGTTAGATCTTGAGTGATGTCATATAAAATTCCTCCACCTCCGCTGCACCTACCCAACCTGGCACCCGACCTCCATTCCCTCCAACCCTCTGCTCTTCCTGTATTAAGGATAGAAGTGCCCTAGTGTAGTAGAAAGCAAAAATTCTTTTAGCTGTGCCTAATGCTGGTATTGGTATTGTGGGGTGTGAGTGTGTGTGTACATGAGCATATGTTTGCGTGTTGGAATATTTGAGTCATCTTACACTGCCGACTTTGAGAGCTATGTTATATTATGCAGGGTTCTTTATGTACTCCAGAAAACCAAATTGCTTGGCCGGGGGGCATGATGAATTCTCTTCATACTGAATTTTTCTCCTCTGAATGATTCTACTGCCAAGTCCCCATGTCTTTGCAATGAGCCTAAAGATAGTGGGATTTGGCTTCAGTTGTGTCTCTTGACTGTTGTCTTTTAAAGTTGCCCAGAGGAAGAAGGAGGAAGGGCAAGTGAATCTGATGAAGAGAAGCGGAAAGCTGAAGCACGAGTGGCCAGAATTCAGCAGTGTCAAGGTACGGTGCTGGTTCCCTGGCCGTGGTGTTCTCCCGGGAGGTCGGAAAGCCCAGATGTCGTGAAAGGGAGGTGATGACTGGACAACTGGTCTAATTCTGTGTACCAGAGGCCCGCGCTGACCACCTCCCCCCGCCAAAAAAGCACAAGCACTTGAAGTGCTCAAATAAGATGACTCTCTCCCTCCTTCCTCCTTAGTGATTAAAATATGTGAAAAACATTCTGCACATAACATCTATGAAACAGTGACCATGGGCAGTGTGGTGCAGACCGGCACGTGGTTGAAGGTCCCAGTGCTGTCAGGCCATAGTCATGTGACTCAGCACGAGGACCCAATAGCTCTGGTCCTCAGTTTCCAAATCTGCAAAGTAAGGAAATTAGGTTAGCTCAGTGATTCTCATCTCTGGCTGAGCATTAGAATCACTCAGGGAGGTCTTTAAAAATTCTGATGCCTGTGCCCCACCCTCCACCAGTTCACTCGGAATCGGGGTGGGGTACAGATGTCATTATTTTAAACTCTCCTGGGTGATTCTGCGGCAGAGAGCTCTGCAGACCCCTCGGTCAGATGCTGGTTGAGGCCCTTTAAGCTCTAAGAATCCTGGGACATGTCGACATCAGAGGAAAATGATCCAGCGAGGGTGGTCACAGGAATTGGAGGTTTCGAAACCGCGTCAGCCAGCGTGTCAGGGTGACAGAGGCTGGCCGCGGCCCTGGGAGGCTCCGGCCTCGGCCGTGTTTCCCTTGTGCTTTTCGTTCGTCACAGACCATGCCGCCTCAGTTTTCGTTCCTAAGCATAGTGTTTAGTCTTAAGGGAAGACAGCGTGGATAAACAAAGATTGGCTCTGCAAGTTTTTCTGGAATTAGGGGAAGGGGAAAGGAATCGGACATTTACTGAGTAGGATAAACTTACAGAAAAGACAATGGAAGCTCAGAGTGGTTGAGTCCTTTGCTGAGGCGGCGGTCACGGAGTGGAAGGTTAGGATTTGAACCTGGGTCTGTCCCACCCAACAGCCTGCACTTGGCCCGTCAGACCGTGCTGCTTGCTGATTAGTAGCATTTTTATCTGAAAGTGTGGCTATTCATCTTAGTTGTATTCATGTGATAGCCTTCTCTGGTAAATCCTCTTTCATAGAGATCCTCAGCACCCAAGACCAGCAGATTTGCACGTATTTAGAGGAGAAGCTGAACATCTATGCTGAGCTTGGAGAGCTGAGTGGGTTTGAGGACGTGCACCTGGAGCCCCATCTCCTCATTAAACCCGACCCCGGGGAGCCTCCCCAGGCGGCCTCGCTGCTGGCAGCAGCCCTGAAAGAAGGTAAGATGCTTCCAAAAGGCTTTGATTCCACAAGCTCAGAAAACGTTTATTGAGCACCCCCTGCATGCCACGCACTGTGGTCTCGGTTCTGAGGACACAGCGGAATAAGACAGATCCTGACTCTCCTGGAATTTGCATTCCAGAAACAGCAAAAGATAAGGAAATAAATACATCAGGTGTGTCGGGCACTATGAAGGAACGTGAGCGGATGAGGGGGCAGTGGTGGAGTTGAGAGGCCCTGTTTTAGATAGGGTGGCCGGGGAAGGCCTCTTTGATGTGGTGGTATGTAAGCACACGTGGTAAAAGTGTGGAAGCCAAGTAGATATCTCGGAAAAGCATGTTCCAGACAGAGGGAATAGCAGGTGCAAAGGGCCCGAGGCAGGTGAGTGCCAGGTTTGTTTGAGGAACATCAAGGAGGACGGTGCAGGTGGAGTGAAGTGAGGGGCGGTAAGTGGCAGGAGATGAGTCTGGTTCACGAGGACTCAGGTAACGAGGGTGAGGTAAGGACTTTGAATGTTCTTCCGAGTGGGTCGAGAGGCTTCACAGAGTTTTGAGTAGAGGAGTGACTTGATTTGTGTTTTAAAAGGAGCCCTCAACTACTGTGCAGAGAATAGCAAAGTCTAGGAATAACCCTGGGAGCTGAGGAGGCTGGAGGTCAGGGTCACTGAAGGTGAGAAGGTCAGGAGACAGAGGCCAGGGTGTTGGGAGGTCTGTGTTCATAGGATTGGAGTCACTGAGAACTTTGACAGCAGTAGCACTGGGGAGGGGAGAACTGACCTTGTCAAGGGGTCTGTAGCCAACGGCAACCAGGAGGGGCAGCAAGTGCCATAACCTGATGGCACGGACTTCAGGGGAAGAAGGGATTTAAGGGGGGGAATGGGGCTAACGGTCTGGAAGTGACCACAGGGACAGAGGGTTTAGGAGATACTAGGCACCCCCTGAGAGTGTGGCGGGGAATGCTGTGGATCAGAAAGAGGGTGGGTAGATTATAGACCACGCATGAAAGGCATCCCACCACCTGTTTCTGTACACATAGGTTTATTGGAACCCAGCCACACCCACCCGTTTGCATATCAGTGATATCTCTGGCTGCTTTCCTGCTGCAGTGGCACAGATGGATAGCTGCAACAGTGAGTGGGCTTGTGGCCCACAAAGCCTAAAATATGTCCTCTCTGGTCCTTTGCAGAAAAAGTTTGCCGGGCTCTGGCTTAGCATTTCAGAACTTTAGCTCTGGAGGAGAATTTGGGAATCGTGGAATCTCTCATCTTTATTTCACAGTCGAGGAAACTGAGGTCTTAAGAAGGGCAGAGAGGTTGTCTGAAGTGGGGTCCACTGATGGATTCATCCACGCATTCATCAGATATTGAGCATCAACTGTGTGCTGCTGTGGGTGCTAAGGAGGCAGTAATGCTTTCATGAAGTCTTCCAATGGGGAAGATGGACGGTACACAAGGAGGCAAGAGCATCTCAGAAGTCACAAGAAAATAAGAAAATGGGTTTGGGATGAGGTGAAGGCTTTGCTTCAGAGAGGCCAGGGAAGACCTCTATGAGGAGATTATGTTTTGCAATGAGAACTGAAAGATAGAAGCAGCCAGCTGTTTGGAGCTCTGGGGGGGACCATTCCTGGGCAGGGAGAAAGTGCGTGCAGAGCCCCCGCATCTGGAATGAGCTTGGTGTGTCCAAGGAGAGAAGGAAGACGACGCTGGCAGGAGTCAGGCGAGATGGCCATGGGGTGGATAGGGGCCGGGTCTTTATAGGCCGTGTTAAGAAAAAAAAAATTTTTCCCAAAACTGATGGAAAGTGATGGAAGCTTTTAATCATGGGTGTGGCATAATCTTATTTCCATCTTGAAAAGAATGTTGGCTGCTGAATGAGGAACAGATGCAAGGAGACCAGTTTGCCTGGAGACTGTTAGGAAGCCATCACAGAAGCTGAGGGGAGATGCTGGAGCCTTGGTCTAGACCAGGACTGTGCGCAGAGGCAGGAGAGAGAAGTGGACAGATGCAAGACGTATTTTAGAAATAAAGCTCGAAGGACTTTCAAACAGGTCGACAAGAACGGGTGACCCTCTCATTATCCTTGATGACCTCTTTATTGAATAAGTCACCCACTCTCAATTTTAGCTGGTGGCTTTCACTTTCTCCCCCACCAAAACTGTCACTGGAGCCCTGTTTTGGTCCATCTGCTTGGATTCCTCTGGGCTTCCATGTGGTGGGGGAGCTGGGGCGCAGCAGTGGACCCAGCCACTCAAGAGAATTCAGGGCAGTTGAAGTACTGCCCGATCTTCAGGCGAGATGATCCAGCCCCACCATTGATTGACAACACATCGCTGCAGAGACAGCAGGAATTCTTATCAGAGTGAGGGACTTATCTTTGGGGGGAAAGACCGTTCATTTACGCACCTTGAATCATCTGCCTGCCGAGGTCTTTGTTCTACTGCACTGCTTTTCTTCACTCCTTTCTCCTCTTCTGTCTCGGCCTCTTGAACTCCATCTGCTCAAGGTCCTGCTCAGGTTTCATCTCCTTTAAGCAAGTTTTCCTAATCCCGCTGGCTCTGCTGTGCTACTGGAGTACTTTTTAATGCTCTTACGCCTGGGTGATGGAACTTGGTACTGATCGCATGCTATCTAGTGGCGTGGTTAGTTGTGTCTCTTTCCTTCTCCAAGCTGCAAACTCTCCTTATTAGTTATCAAATGCCCACTGGTCATTAGGGCTCAGCGGGTGCTCAGTGAGTGTTGACTGAATTGAATCATTGGACAGAGGGGTTTAGAAATATTTGTAGGGTCCTCAAAATTACACTATTCCACATGCTAGTTGAAAACCTTTTATTGTAAATAAAAACTTCGCTTTCTTGATGTGATGTTTCCCAGTCTCACCAGATCCTATGAGTAGCCTTTGGTGCCTCTTTAAAATGCGAATCCTTTGTTTTCTTTCCTGGAGAATCTGAACCAGTAGATCTACGGTGAGGACAGCGAGTCTGTATTTTTTTTTTAATACATATATGCCCCTTTACTTCTTTTGCCCCTCCCCCCCATAAGAGTCGGTATGTTGTGTTTTCATTTTCATTTGTCTCCAGGTATTTTTTTATTTCTCCTTTGATTTCTTCATTGGTTGTTCAGTGGCATGTTGTTTAGTCTCCACATATTTGTGTCTTTCCTAGGTTTTTTCTTGTGATTGAGTTCTAGTTTCATAGCATTTGTGGTTGGAAAAGATGCTTCTTGATATGATTTCAATCTTCTTAAATTTATTGAGGCTTGCCTTGTTTTCAAACATATGGTCTATCTTTGAGAATGTTCCATGTGCACTTTAGGAGAATGTGTATTCTGCTGTTTCTGGATGGAATGTTCTATACATATCTATTAAGTCCACCTGATCTAGTGTTTCATTTAATACCACTACTTCCTTGTTGATTTTCTGTCTGGATGATCTGTCCATTGATGTAAGTGGGGTGTTGAGGTCCCCTATTATTGTTGTGTTGTTGTTAATATCTCCCTTTAGGTCTGTTAATAGTTGCTTTATGTGCTTTGGTGCCCCTGTGTTAGGTGCATATATATTCATAAGTGTTATGTCCTCTTGGTGGGATGTCCTTTTTATCATTATATACTGCCCCTCTTTGTTTCTCATTGTCTTTTTTATCTTGAAGTCTACTTTGTCTTATATAAATATGGCAATACCTGCTTTCTTTTGTTTACTGTTAGCTTGGAGTATCGTCTTCCATCCCTTCACTCTGAGCCTGTGTTTGTCTTTAGAGCTGAGGTGTGTTTCCTGGAGGCAGCATACTGTTGGGTCTTATTTTCTCATCCATCCAGCCACTGTGTGTCTTTCAATTGAAGAGTTCAATCTATTTACATTTAGAGTGATTATTGACAAATGAGGGCTTAATACTGGCATTTTATTTCTTGTTTTCTGGTTGTTCTATTTCCATTGTTTCTCTTCCCTTGTATTTCTGACTACCATTTCAGTTTGTTGGTTTTCTGTGATGGTCTTCTCTTTATTAATGAATTGTGGCTCTGCTCTGATTTTTCTTTTTTACTGGTTACAATGAGGTTTGGATACAAGATCTTGTAGATGAGACAGTCCATTTTCCGATAGCCTCTTATCTCCATTAGCCTAAGCAGGTTCCATTCGTTTCCCCTTCTTCTTCTGAGTTATTGTCACAAGTTATTCTGTTTTGTGAGTTTGTGACTAAATTGAAGTGTTTACAGTTATTTTTTATGCATTTCTTCCCTTTATCTTTTATGTTATAATTGTTTGCTGACCTGTTCTGATAGAGAGCTGCAGTTTTCTAATTTTGTCTGTCTGTCTATCTCCTTGGTGAAAGCTTTGTAAACCTTTGCCTTTTTCTTTCAGGTAAGAGGGTATCCTTCAGCATTTCTTGGGGGGAGGGGCAGGCGTCTAGTGGCGATGAACTCCCTCAGCTTTTGTTTATCTGGGAAAGCTTTTATTTCTCCATTGTATCTGAAGGATCCTTTTGCTGGATAGAGAATTCTTGGCTGAAAGTTTTTGTCTTTCAGTATTGTGAATATATCATTCCATTCTCTCCTAGCCTGTAAGGTTTCTGCTGAGAAATCCACTGAAAGCCTGATAGAGGCTCCTTTGTAGATTATTTTCTTCTGCCTTACTGCTCTTAATATTTTTTCTTTATCATTGACTTTTGCCAGTTTTACTATTATATGCCTTGGAGAAGGTCTTTTTGCATTGAAGTAATTAGGAGTTCTATTGTCTTCATGTAGTTGTAAGTCCAGTTCCTTTCCCAGGTTTGGGAAGTTCTCAGCTATTATTTCTTTGAGCAGGCTCTCTGCTCCCTTCTACCTCTCTTCTCCCTCTGGAATACTCATAATCCTTATGTTGCTTTTCCTAATTGAGTCAGATATTTCTCGAAGAATTTCTTCATTTTAAAAAAAATCTTAGTTCTTTCTCCTCCCCCCCCCCCTGAGGCATTTCTATAGTCCTATCCTGTAAATCACTAATTCTGTCCTCCATAAAGTCAGCTCTGTTTTTTTTATGGTTTCTAGATTATTTTCTGCTTCATTAATTGTGTTCTTCATATCCAGAATTTGTTTGAGGTTTTTTTTTTTTCAGCACTTCTGTCTCTTTGGTGAAATGTTCCTTCTGCTCATTAATTTTATTCCTGAGCTCATTGAACTGTCTGCGTTTTCTTGTCATTTGTTGAGTTTCTTTATGGCAACTGTTTTGAATTCTGTCATTTAGCTTGTAAATTTCTGTGCGTTCAGGCTTGGTTTCTGGAGAGTTGTCATTTTCCTTCTGCTCTGAAGTGTTACTGTAGTTCTTCATGGTGTTGTGACCCTTTGCTGGCACTTTTGTGGATCAGGTCACAGATTCCACCTGCCACATCTGGGGAGGGGAGCAGGAGCTGTGTTTTCTGATCCCGCCCCATCTGCTGGGAGTTGTGTCAGTAAGGCTGTTCTGCATTTGTGCGGCCTAGCCACAGTTGCTTGGGGGGTCATGCATGCATGCACAAGTGGGTCCTCTGTGCTCCACTACAGGATGCTCTTGTGCTGGTGGGGCCACTGTGCTTGGCAGGGGCCTGGCTGAGCTGCTGTGCTAGGTGGGAGGGGAGAGGCACTTTCTTTCCCACACAGACTGACTCTGTGCTTGCAGGTGGCTTAGCTGAGCCATTGCACTTGGTGGGCAGGGCTCCCTCTTTGGGACTGAGCTGCCATCACTTGGTAAGGAGTGTTCCCACAGGCGGGGCCACCATGACAGGGTGGGCTCTTCTGCTGGCCGGGTCACCACTCCAAAAGCATCTGGGCACAGGCCAGGCTGCCCCTCCCTCCTCCTACAGTTGTGCCAGCCTCTATGTGAGGACCCGTGACCTGGATTGCTGCTCCCAGGGAGGGGGAGGGGTCCACTCACCTGGTTCTGCTGCTCCCCAGGCATGTAGTCCACCCGCCTTCAGATGTATGGCTGCAAGGGTCTGCCAGGCATCCTGTTGTGCTGTGCAGGGAATCCTCTGCTGGTTGATACATGTCCATTTAGTTGTAACTTAGAGGGGAGAGACAAAGGGAACAACTCACTCTGCCATGATGGTGATGTCACTCCCGGGAATCTGTATTTTTTAAGGCACATTTGGGAAAATACTCTTTTGAAGAATAGCTAGTGTTTTCTGAATAGCAAGTTTTAAAATCCTAAGGCTGGATATCATATTTAAATTAGTTGAATTACAGGGAGCTTGTCAGCCAACTAATGTACTAATAGTTGCATTTGAGATTTTTATACAATGAGTTTGTTTTTTTATTGAATTCTCTATCATAAAATGATACTAAAAGTATTGGTCTAGATTGCAGGTTGGCAAACTTTTCCTGTAAAAGGTGGGATGGTAAATACTTTAGGCTTTGCAGGCCACATGCAGTCTCTGGGACACATTCTTCTGTGTGCGTGTGTACGCGCGTATTTTAACAACCCTTTAAAAATGTGAAACCATTTTTAGCTCCTAGGCCATATAAAAACAGACTCAGGTCAAATACAGTTTGCCAACTTCTGGTCTAGATTAGACTGTATATATGTTTGTTTTTTAATTTACCTTTGTTTTCTTCTTAGCTGAGAGCCTACAAGTTGCAGTGAAGGCCTCGCAGATGGGCGATGCATGTCCATCATCCGAGGAAGGTTGTGGAGAAGCTGCCTTGACGGATACGCTCAGTTCTCAGGACGTGCCAGGATTGCCTACTGCTTGTAAGTGAAGTTACAGGCCTTTGCAGTGAGCCTGAACACAACCCTTGGAGCATGTAGTGGTTCCATGAGGTGACGGCAACAGCTCTGTCCCTATTTGGAGGGGACTTAGTCTTTTTTTTTAAATTAGAAAAAACTTGAGCATAAACATGCTAGCCGACTTTCCAAGTGGCGTCCCAAGGTGAAGGACTTAAACAAGAGTTGGTGGGTTACACTGCCCTGTTACCCAGCCTGGCTCTGCACCTTCCCGTACCCTGCCCTGCCTCGTTTTTGATAGGACTTAATGAATATAGTTTGGAAAAAACTTCTGGGGCTGGCCTCGTGGCCTCGTGGTTAAGTTCGTGCACTCCGCTTCGTCAGCCCAGGGTTTCACTGGTTCGGATCCTGGGCGCAGACATGGCACCTCTCGTCAGGCCACGGGGAGGTGGCGTCCCACATGCCACAACTAGAAGGACCCACAACTAAAAAAAGTATACAACTATATACTGGGGGGATTTGGGGAGAAAAAAGCAGGGGAAAAAAAAAAGATTGGCAACAGTTGTTAGCTCAGGTGCCAATCTTTAAAAAAACAAAAAAAAAACCTTCTAAACGTTTTTGGTTTTCTGATAAAGGATCCCTGCAGCTCATTAGAGAATAAGGCCTTTATTTCATCTCATCTCTTAATGTGTCCACAGGGGAATATAACTCAGAGAACCATAATCCCATATACATATGTTCACACACGTGTTGGTGCTTAAATGCAGAAGTGCCAAGAGACTCTTGGTTGATGTCGTCATACACATTAGTTTGGGACAGAATACATTTATTAAAACACTGTTTCAATATTTTAAATTACAAAAAAATAGAATGTAGAGAATTGATTTAGGTAATTTCTCGGAGCCTAATTATATGGTTATATGTATAGTTGTAAGCTAAATATTTAATTCTCTAAAAGTCTCTGAGATAAGAGCATAAAGAATATATTTTTTGTTATGTTCAGGTGTTAAAAACCTCACTTCCACTTATATTGTCTTAGTATTTCTTTGACAACATCCCTTGGTTAATTAACATATATGAAAGCAGAACAGTTTTAAATGCTATACTTTTTTTTTTTTTACCAATACCAATAATTACATTCCCCTCTCAAGTTCTGCTTTATCTAATCCTGGTTTCTATTTCAGAATGTGCACATATGCTTTTCATTTCAACACAGCTCACATTCGTCAGTGGAGTTGTACTGCCCCGGGTATTTCCTTGTTAAAGAAGAACCTCATTATGCCATTGAGGAAGTTCTGTCTAAAAATACACCAGGGGTCTGCTGCTCTCAGCCCACCCCGGGGACAGCTGGACAGCTCCACTCGCTGCTGCAGCTGCTCAGGGCTCGTGCCGCACCTTCCCTCCCTCAGACCAGGCGAGGACGGTTCTCGCTGTCTGTGTCCACATCTCCCGTGACTTGGGAGAGTTCACAGGGCACACCCATGATGTCTGCAGAACCATTGGGAGGCCATTTACAGTGCCTGATATCCGGATTCATGTAGAGGAGGAGCAGGGCCAGGTCGGCAGGGTCCTGTCCCCAAAGACCCATTCAGTTCCAGGCTGCATCGCGACACGGGGCCACAAGGGTTTGATTCTCTTTATGAAGCTGGCGAGGGCACAGTACTCTTCCTACGTGAGGGTCAGTAACTGAATGGGCCCATTCTGTGTTTGGCTTTGAGGCCTGTTCCTTCTGAGTCAGACCCATGTCTGTCTGAGGTTATAGACTAAGCAAGCCCTCTGTTTTAGTCCTCAGTATATTCAATCAGGTGGATGAGTGTTTGCTACTCCCTATAAAAGTCTGGAGACCCTCTTGTCCACTCTAAACTTGAATACGGGAACAGAGGGCCTGATCTTGTCTCATTCTTCTGCCTTCATTTGGCTCCCCATCAGCTTCTTTCCCCACTTGATGCTCCTCATTTCTAAGAGGGACTGAGAGAGACAGAATGGCTAATTCTTGGTAATGCCTTTGGCATCTCTCTAAGAGTTAAGAATAATACCCAAGAGTAAAACCATTTTTTGGCTGACAGAAGAATCTCTATAAAATGTCCCTTCACTGTTTAAGCATTGACTCGCTTGGGCAAAATGAACTTAATTTTTAGCTGATGTAATTTGAAGCAGTTTCTGCTTAAACAAAAACTGCTTTGTAGTGGAAGAAGCCTTTGGAGTCCCAAAGGACTCTCATTTAAAGATGGCGCTGGGAAAAAACTTTACAGACAGTGTCGCAAAGTGAATATCTATTTCATGAGGATCTGGTTGGGTGTGATTCCAGTGAAATTCTGGGTGTGAAAGGGCTTTGCAAAGTATACTTTCAGTCCATATAAGATAAGCATAGTATAAGTTTTAACTAAGTTCACATGGGTAAAGAAAGAAACTCCCACCAACAGAGATTTAATGGCTGGAGTGAAATCTGTATTTGGTACTTAAAAATATTTCTGGACTAGAAATATTTCTGTGTTTTCGTAGGTTAAATATACAATATTTACAGTATTTGTGAATTTAGAACATAAGCAAGAATCACAAAGAAAAAAGCACACCTGGAAATTGTTAAAAAAACACAAAAAAACAAAGTGACTTGGAGACAAGGAGGGTGCCTCCATCTGTGTGACTGCAGCTTCATGCGGTGTTAACTCAGGAAGAGGTTCCCTCTTGTCACTGGGCTCCTCCTTCCTCCCGGACCTTGTATGGTCTGTGGCTCTTGTGCCAGCCCCGAGGGAGCCTTTCACAGGCCTCTCTCCTTAGACCTGGGCCTGCCCGTCCTCGCGTCTCCTTTTGCAGGGCCCGTTCCCAGCCGCACCCTCCCCAGGTGTTTTCTTCTATTAACTGAAAGTGAGGTGTAGAATCCACCCTTTCGGTACCACTCCCGTCACGTGAACCTCTCCATACACAGAAAGAAAAATAAAAAGACGGGTGGTAACTGATTCCGTGCATCAGTTGGGTACCCATTAGTGTGGAAGCTCCCTGAGGGCAGGGGCTGTGCTTGGCTCTGCCCTCTTTCTGCACATTGCATGAGAGTATTCGATACGTGTGATTTTGTGATGGGTCTTATTTGGAAAAGTGTCAACTGTGTACAAAAGAACCCAGACCTGGCTACTGTTTGATGATGTCCTTTTTGTTTCTGTCTCGATGGTGCACTTCCAGCACTAGTCACAGAAGGGACAGGAGGAAGAGGCTGCTGGGATGTGGATCCCGGGACCCAGGGTGTGGGAACCGACTTGGCGGTCTCTGATGCAGGGGAGAAGGTATCGTGAACTGACTTGTTAGTAAATGGCGCCAGTCACTGTGTGTAACAAAATAACCCCAGGTCCTGGTCTGTCCAGTGAGTCATGTAAAAGTGTTTTCTGAATTGTCCTCAATTTCAATATTCATATTTAAACTTTCCAACTTACTTCTTTAACTGTTCCTGCTCTTCCTATATCGTGTGGGTGTAAACAAAGAAATAATTGAAAAGTGATTAAAAAGATTGAAAACTCGAACGTTGACTGGTGTGTCTGCGCTCTTCCGTCTGGCCTCTCTTTCACTGTCCACGCTGCAAACCTCTGGCTTTTCACCCATAACGTCTGGCAGCTCTTGGCTGACAGGTGGTCCCGGCGTCGGGGCCCTTACGCAGCCAGGTGGCACTAAAGTGGCAGAAATAATTTTGACTCTGGAATATTCTTGCTTCTTTCACTTTCTCTTACCTTCCTCTCCTTTCAGATTGCTTTCTGTCACCACCCATACTGTCACCTACATTTTTGTGATAGACTTTTAATCAACCTGACCAATTTTTGCTTAGGGCAAAGTGTTCAAAATGCCTCTTCTCTTTCGAGGTATGATACACATAGTTACAACACTGTCTTTTAAAAATTAAATGTGTGAAGCTTCCTGTTCAAATGAAACCAGGCTGTCAGAAATAGAGAAGAAATGAGAATGTGATTCTGAGAGGTGGTGAGGTGGCCTCCCCACGATTGTCTGGGGCTCAAGAGTTTAGTTTTATCTAAAATCGGAGTAGGTTTGTTACCAGAGGCCAGTATGTGTTAATGTGGAAAAATGACACATCAGGGCTTTATGTATGTAACATTTGACATATATTTTGTATATATTACATATGACTGAGAAACCAAATCCAAAGGTTTTTTTAAAAATCCATAGAAAAGATGGCTGTGATTTAATGTTTTTTTTAAACTTCATAGGCCAAAATGAAACTAGGAATGAAACATTTTGCTCCACTTATCCCGACTGTAAGCTTCCTAGCTTCTTCCTTAAACGCTCCTGCTCTCCACCCCTTCCAGTGCAGACTTCGCTCGTAAATCTGTGGCTTCCCACTGCTTTTATATTATGAGAGGGAAGTAGGGAGGGAGGGTCAGTTAGTGACAGTTTCTCTTGGGTGGAAAGCTGTGGTGGCTCCCGCCCCGCAGGCTTTCCCTCCGTGACTCAGTCACAGGTAAGTGCCATTGAGTGTCTTGGGTCCTGCAGGTGAGCCCCCCTGGAGAATTGTGCCACTAATGAGGCATTTGGAGAAACTGCATGAACTGATGTATGGGGTAGGATCACTCGAAATCACACTTTTGAAAAGTGTATAATGGATATTTTTAAATTAGCTTTCTTAATAAGGTAAGATTTTAAAAAATGTTTCTAAAAAAATTAGTTACCCAAACGGCAAAATACTGTGTGTAAATCACCAACTGCAGCTGTGCACTATCACCACAAGGTGGCAGACCAACTCTGTTAAAAAAAATGACGTTAAAAATTTCTGTCTTGCATCTAACCTAGTGGTTCTTGGGAATAAGTAACCGCGTGTAGCATAATCTGACTCATTTCCCTGTTCCTAATTTTTATAGAATGTAGAAATTCTATACCATATGATCTTCTTACAAAAGCAGTGGAGTGTGGAGCAAAGTCAGAACCAGAAGAGCAGAGAGAGCTCCACAGCTGGCTACAGAATGGGCGTGTGAGCCACACTCTCTTCCAGAGGGTCAGGCACTGATCTGATGTCTCCTTTTCCATCCTTGTCCTTGCCCTGTGAGAGGTGCTGCTTGGTGATGCAATCTCTCATAGGCAGGCAGGGGGAGAGGGGGCGGGAGGAAGAGCTGGGGCTGTCACATCCTGTCATCAACAGCCTGAACTGACTGAATTTAACAACAAGCCCAAAGTTACCTGGTAACATGACCACAGCTGACTGTTCCTCATGGTTTCAACTTAAAGCGGCCCAGACAAGAGCCAGCGGTACAGGGGAGCCTGTGGGCTCCTGGAGGTCAAGGAGTCGGATGACCTCCTGTAGTGTAAGGAGTGGAGTGCACGCTGGGTGCTCAATATTTGTAGAATGGAGGGGGAGCATCCATTTCATGCCAGGCGTCCTTCTTAGGCTTGCATATGGCATCGACCACACACATGAAATCCTGCTACCCACTGGCTGACATCCTAGTGGGAGAAGACAGACAATAAATGAAGAACAAATGGGCAATTCAGTTCTGGAAACTGGAAACCCTCACTACCCACTTGTGCCTGTAATGTGTGTGGTAGAGACACCCCATCCCCCAGGAGCAGACGGCCTTATGCAGCCTCGTTCATGGCCTCTGCTGATGGTGCTTCTACTAAGGCAGGCACAGACGGCTCCAGTGAGCTCTGAGAGCTGCGATCTGGAGCGGCCAGCTAAATGTTCCCCTTTCAGCCGTCTCTAGGTCTGGTTTCTTCTCCCAGCCACTGGCTGTTTTGGCTTTGTGAATCTCAAACATGGAGATAGGGAGCTCGAGGCCAAGCATGATGTTCTCTAGCATCCAAATGTGGCCTCCAGGATTCAGAGAGCCAGCCTGGCCCGAGACGACTGCAGCCTGGGCACAAAGAGTTTACAGTGTGGTTTGCGCAAGGTAAACACGTCACTTGTGGAGAGTCAGCTGCGCTTCCTTACCCCATCCCTTGTTGTTTTAAGGGACCGTTAGGTGAAAGGTTGCTGTGCATCTCAAATACCGAGTTTGCACGGGGTGGGAGAGGGTGCTCTTATCAAGTGATTGCTTGATTGTACAGGCTTTGATTTCCGGAGGGGACAGTCACCCTGGAAGAGCCGAGAGAGAGTGCAGTGTTTTACCCAAGGTCACACATTTTGGAACACTACAGTGTAGCTTTCCAAAGTAGCGTGATTATTCATTTTCTTATGTTTTTATGTATTTTAGGTGGAATATAGAAGTTTCCCAGGTTCTTCACAGTCGGAGGTGAGTTCTGCACACTTAAATATATCGTCATCCTCTATGTGAGGATAATGAATGCTTTTGCAAGACTTTGACGCTTAGGATCTTGTTTTTCAGATTATACAAGCGATACAGAATCTAACCCGTCTCTTGTACAGCCTTCAGGTAACTGTGCTGCTCTAAATTTTGACCTCGTGAATGTTTCTCTTAATGCAATTCGCTTTATTTGATGACTCCCAGACCTTAAAACTGAGAGCCTTTGAGAGGTAGTGAATGATCTTAAAGCGATGCCAGCCCCCCAGGCCTTGCTCAGCTTGACGCGTTGAACTTGCCCCTGGTTTTGTGATCACAGGGCGACACCACTGCTTTTTACACCATTCTTCTCTGAAACCATAAAACAGTTCATATCTTTAAAAAATATTGATGAATATGATCTGGCTTGAAGTTTACAATGAAACTCTTAGGTGAGTGTAGCATGACTTCACATTTTCTGGTGAAAACTTAAATTCACACCTAAACTTTTCACTTCCACATGTGGCCTTAGGCCTTGGGAGCAGTTAAATAATTCATATGCTCCTTTGTTCCTGGGTTTGTTCATCCACCTGATGTCTGTTGCCTGCCCTCTCCGTGCAGGGTGCTGTGCTAAGGCCTGAGCACACACAGGCAAATGGCCCACAGAGCCCACGATAGGCGACTCACTGTCTTCCAAAGGAAGACAGGCAGAAATCGAGCTTGCCTGTGGGATTATAGGGTTGGATGATCCCTTAGGCCATGCACAAGAAAGGCCGAATATATCCAATTGCTTAATTTAGGGATTAAAAAATATTTTAAAATGGTATACAAGCAATGTTTATATGGTAAACACATTGTAGAAAAATTTGAAAATGCAAGTAAATAAAACAATTTGTGAGTCCACAGAGAGAATGACTGTTGTCGTGTTGGAGTGTACCCTCCAGCGTTTACATCTGTTTTATACGTGCTCTCGCAACACGTGCCATTCGGTATCGTAAGTGCTTATTGTATAGCACAATTTTTAATGGTTGTATAATGTTCAAGTCTTTGGAATTTATCCAATTCCTCATAGTTTATACTTTTGTGTTAACACTCTAGCAGATATCCTTGTACACTAATCTCTGAACATATCTGAGTGTTTCCTTAGGATAATTAGGTTTTATTAGATATTGTCAAAATAACCAATATCCCGCTCTACTTGTCCTTAATTTGAAAATGGCTCAAGGCATCTGATTATCTTAATTTGCATTTTTTTGATTATTGTTGAGATTAAACTTGCTTTTCCTACTGGTTTGTTAGTCATTCATACTTCATATCTTTACCTGCTGAATCTTAAAGGGAAATAAAGTTGTCTGACTTTAAGTTTTCACCAGAAAAAATGTAAAGGCATGTCACATTTGATGTTTTCTTGTTTATGCTTCGACGGCGTTGAGACTTCTTTCTCTTACGTCCTAGCGATCATCTGCCTACTCTTGCTGTAGTTCCGCTGTCTTAACTATTAAAGGTTTGCATTACGTTTGAATAGATGACAGTGCTGGTCTCCTTTTACTGTTTTTCTGTGCTCATCTATATGTTCTTTCGTAAGAGCTTTTGAATCACTCTGACAAGTTTGTTACCTTCTACCAACACCTTTAAAATCTCTTTATATTTATGAATTAAACTGGGGAGAATTGGCACTTTTGCAATAATGCATGTTGTTAGTTATCTCTTATTTTATGTTCTGCTGGAGTGCTTTGTAATAGTCTTCACATAGGTACTGTACGAATTTTTTTTTTTTTGGCTAAGTTTATTTATAGATATTTTTCTCTTTGTTTCTGTTGAGAATGGAATTTTTTTCATTATGTTTCTCCAATGGTGGTTGCTGACATAAATAAATATTTTTATTTTTATATGTTTATTTTGTAACTAGACAACTCATCGAATGTTATTTTTTGTTTTAATAGTTTTCCTGTTGATTCTTTCAAGTATTCCAGATAGAAAGTAAAAATTTGAAAATAACAGTATTATGGCTATTCTTCAATAGTTATATCAGTTTCATTTTCTTGGCTTACTGCTTTGGCTAGAACTTCTGAAAATGTGATAAATAATAGTGACGATAGTAAGCAGTCTTGTCTTCAAGAATTAGTGGGAATGCTGTTAGATATGCTGGTCTGGGCTCGGTGTTCTTAGAGACGGATTAATCAGGTGGACAAATAGTCTTTCTTTTTCTAACTGAGAAGGGGTATAGTTTGAGTCTAGTTTGTTAACTTTTGGGAGATGAAAGCATTGAGAATCTGGGCTTGTGCTGCCTGATGAAAACTCTCATGAAGTCACTTCCTTTCGACCTTGACTGCAGCCCTATGTGGAGTCAAGATTCAGAAAAGCCGGTCACCTAAATGACATAATTTTTGCCGCACATCGGGTTGAAGCAATACAGGAAAGATCAAATTCTGTAGTGGGTTCTCCTATGCAAAGGTCTTGAGCAGGTCTAAGGATGTGGGCTCTGAAAGATTTCTGTTCACGCCGCAGTCGTCTCTTTTGAAGCTGCATCTTTCGTGCATGATTGAGGTTTTTGCATGAGCATTTTTGAATCAGATGGACATTGAAATTTGATCCCCCCTGTATTAGGAGAGCAGAGTTAGAGATGACGTATGGTCAAGGCAGAAAGGAAAGGACATAGAATTATTTCAGCAAAGAAAAGTTAAGAGAGAGTGAATTGGAAATTTCCCTAAACTTGAAGAGCAAGTGCTGTTCTCATCCTAAATATAAATGTGAACTTTAAGTGTGAAAACGGATATCCAGTCTTCAGACTCCACCTCCGTGCTACAGAAGAGATGGTCTTATCCCAAATGTTGAGTAGATATGAGGAATACTTCATGGTAGCACCTAATTAGGCTAACTAACGCTTACATGAGACAGCATTGCCTACTGTAGTTTTGACATATAAAATATTGAATTTTTGTTTGTTTGTTTTACTACACTGACTCCCTTAGGATTTGTTAGAATTAAATGGTGATGTGCAATCCACAATTTGTCCGAGCTGGGACCTCTGGGTCCTGAATGGTTTATTATTTCATATTTTAGAGATCAAAGTAGTTAATGCCTATTCTCATTGATAATCATTGTTCTCTTTACAATAACTTCTAAAAGATATTATTCAAATATTCATGTGAATTTGAAATTTTTAAAATTATTTTTCAAATTTGAGAACATTAATTTTATTTCAAAAGGTCCCAGTGAATACATTTTTGATTCTTATTCTAAAAGAAGCACCAATTTAAAATACACCTTAGTTCTTTATCCTTCAAAAGTATAGGAAAATGCTGATCTAACAAAGAACTAATGGTCAAATCCTCATCTTCTCAGCATCTATTACATGGGCAGTTTTAAAAATTCTTAGGAAAAAGAAATGTGAGTTTATCCCTAGGAGAGTAATAATTTCTCATAACGAGTCAAAACACACACACACACCCGGTATGTGGCCATTTTCAATTTGTCCCTTCTGTGCTGCTTTGCACTTTAAATGGGAACTTTTAAAATTAAAACCTTCCGAGGGCATTCACAGCGACTTTTTTTGGTTTTGTGGAATCCTGCCAAATCTTGGCAATTATTTCCCGTGATGCTGCCAAATTTTTCATAGGCAGATACCGTAACTCAAAATATTTTTTTAATCTGGTTGGTAATGTCCTCTGGGCTTTAGAAATATCTACGTTCCCTTATCATTCCAGCCTCCTGTTAGCGATCTATTAAACAAATGAGTTTCAGCTTGGTGTTTTATGCATGACCTTCCTGCAATAAGACAAAGAAACAACAATAATGAGACTAGCTTCACATGTTACATATCTCCAAAAGGTGATGTTAACGGCTGTTCTTGGGTATCAGATTATAAGAAGATTATTTACCAGAAGTCTCCAAGTGGTTGACTTTCATTTCTACGTCTTCATGTACGTAATGTAGCTTAAGTAATTTCTGGCTTCGGATGCAGATAAAGGATACTACCAGATTTGCATAGATTCTTAAATTCTCGTGAATTGACTGGAGCCACCTCAGAAAGAGAATGAGACATGGAACAGGAATGTAGTCTTGTGAATTTACGTTCTGAAATCATCTTCAAAAGACTTGTTTAAATATTATCCGACAACCAGCAACAAACGACATTTCCAAAAGAGGGCATGAACATTGCTTTTGTGCTTTCTTTCTTTTGTGTATGAATTCCCATGTCATAAATCCCAGCTCGTACTAGGAGATGGAGACGAGCCTATTTGAAGTGCCACGGTTGGTCTTAGTATGTAACTTAGGAAAAGGAGAGAAACATTAGGAGAAAATAATTTGGTCATGTTTTTTGTATTTGGAGGTAGTTCCAACCCAAAGTGCAAATGGTGTGGAAGCCTTTATCCTTTCCTCTCTGCTCTGACAGGCCGCCCTGACCATTCAGGACAGTCACATTGAGATCCACAGGCTGGTTCTCCAGCAGCAGGAGAGCCCGGCCCCCGGCCCCTGTCTCCGAGGCAGCGCCTTTCAGGACCAGGAGAAGTGCCGCAGCCTGGAGAAGCAGCGTGAGGAGCTGGCCAACATCCACAAGCTCCAGCACCAGTTCCAGCAGGACCAGCAGCGCTGGCACCGCAGGTGCGACCAGCAGCAGCGGGAGCAGGAGGCCAAGGCCAGCTGGCTGCAGGAGCGCGAGAGGGAGTGCCAGTCACAGGAGGACCTGCTGCTGAGGGACCGCGGGGAGCTGGACCAGCAGCTCCAGGAGTACCAGCAGAACCTGGAGCGGCTGAGGGCGGGCCAGCGCCTGGTGGAGAGGGAGCGTGAGAGGATGCAGGCCCAGCAGAGCCTGCTGTGCGGCTGGAAACACAGCCGGCAGAGCAGCCTTCCCGCGGCGTTTTCTCCGGGAAGTACAGAGGTAGGGTCTTCCGTGCTCGTGGAAGCGGCGTGTGAGGCAGCTTCGCAGAGGCAGGCTCCGTCACGGTCCTCCCTGTCTGTTTCCACTGCTTGTGCAAAGGCTCACAAGCGTTACCTGATGTATAGGTGGCAGGGGCTGGGAACTCTCAGAGACAGTGCATATGCATCTCGACTTGAAATATGGGCATTTGAAAGGCCTAGGTCCTGTTGGATCACGGGCCTGTGGTAGTCTGAGCCGCTGTTACCCGGGAGGAAACACGGAGTTGAGCTGTCCGGTCAGGCAGCTCTGTCCCCAGGCGCACTCACCATGAGCACGCACATGTCCTTCCTGCAGCTGAAGGGCCTCTGTGTGGGACCCAGTCTTTAGTTCTGCACAGATGCACCTTTTGGTGGCTCAGTTAGCTATTAATGTGCATTACACTTGCTGGATTTAGCAAGTCTAATACTACTGTTATTCCAAGCTGCTTCTTTTTTTTGTAAATTTGACATAGTAAATTCAAAATCCATTTCACTAATAATAGTTAACATGAGCATACTAATTAATGACTGGGCAGGAGAAAACCTTTCAGAAGATTCTATGTTCCATTTGCATCCTCTCTACGCATCCTTGACAATTCCATTCACCCCAGGAGTTTACTCTTCTGTGCTATGTGCACACACATGCTTTTTATTGATCGTGCATGAGGTCATAAAAGTTGATAAGGTTACAAGAAAGATCTATGTTGCATCTGATTTTCCTTTCAAGTTGGCTAAATTATATTTATGTAATTATGTAATTACATAAGTTCTGTTTATTACAAATACCTTGGTATACATGAATATTTGCAACTTTTTTATTTGGCAAGCGTGAAAATGCTGCTCTCTCGCAGTGGAAACACGGTAACAGCAGAGAGCACTACTGCTGGTCCTTTTCTTTGAAGATGTGCTGTGCGTTACTCGCTCATTTAAAGGGGAGGGAGGAGGGAGTCAAAGGTAATGTTCTTCTCGACTTCACTCTTATTAAAATTTTGATTGCTAAATTCTATTAGGAGTGAATACTTTATGAAACTTGCACAAATTGATGGAGAAATTATTGTATCTTTTTCTGTATTTTCTTACACAGGTAATGGAACTTAATCAATCTGAGAGTTTATGTCATGAAAATTCATTCTTCATCAATGAAGCTTTAGTGCAAATGTCACTTAACACTTTCAACGAACCAACTCCATCAGATATCCTTCAGGATGCCACTTACCTCCCAAATATATCTAACTCTGATTTGGTAAGGACTAGAAAGAACCAAGTAGACCTCAAGACGGACGTTTCTCAGCCCTCGGATGTCAACCATGAACTGTGGACAGCCACTGGGTCCTGTCATCAGATACCCCCTCTCCACCCAAGCAGCAAGGATTCTTGTAAAAATGGTAATTAATGCTTTAAATGTCATCTGGATAGTTTCAACAAGAAGCTCTTTCTCTGAACGGTTGGCTCTCCTTTAGTGTGAATCAAAGTGGGCCCTAGAATGGGAGTAAATTGGTGCTGATGTGCTGAAGTTTGTGGCATAAACCTTTCTTTGGGGAAGACTGGGGCCCTCGCCTGTCGGTACCTAGACGAGCTGGACCCTGGGCAGAGGGCTTAGAGGGTGCCACCAAGATGTGAGAACCAGGCAGGCTCTGGGGGTTGTGGGTTAAATGATAACTTTCCCTTGAAAGTGGAGCAACTTGATATTTATTCCTCACCGTAGCCCCTCCTGCATCCTGACACACATACTCGGGGCCTCTCGGGACTAGAGGACGCGGACAGGGTTTGTGGCAGGACTTCATTGTCCATTGGGGCAATTTCCTCTAACACTGGTGAAATCTTCTGTACTGCTGTCAAACACCCCAAATGAAACTGCTAACATCATTTGTCATTGTCAAAAAGGTGTTGTGTCTCCGTAAGTACCTCATAATAACACAATTTGCTAATCCCATTAAAACATCTGCCGAATATAAATGAAAGGCAGCTCGAGTTACCGGCTCCACGTGAATCCAAGTGATTGACGCCTTCGTCTATTATAAATTGTCTTCTGTGGGATATGAGGTAGGGAACGGGAAGAACTCGAAACCTCTCTACCAAAAAACAGATGGCATGCAATAGAATAAATAAATGGCTGGCCACAGGGATGGGAAATAAATCACCGACAGCAAAGTGTTTCAGAAACGTAAACCAAGCAGCAGTGTGGGGAGCCTCAGACTGGGTACCGATTTGTTCCCATCCTGATATACATTCTTGGTTTGTCAGGAGGATAATTTTCAGCAATGACAAGTTTTGGAGGTATTCAGCTTCTCCAAGTTAGAGAGTAATAATTCCAACACCACCTCAAAGTTGTTTTATTACTCATCCAGAAGTTGTCGATTCTTCCTAGTGGATAATTCTTTACATTTTTTAGTCACTGCTGTAACATTCCTATTTCTTGTCAGCATATGGGAGAGAATGAAATAGTTCTCTAAGTATCATTTCAAATATCCTTTAAATAGAAAAGAATATATAATGAAATAGTTCCTTGGGATTTAAAAAATAGGCAGAACTTAGAAAATGTAACCCCTTGAATGTGTTATCTTGCAGCTTTAGTGCTCCAGAGAGCCCGTGCAGAATGCAGAATGCTATTTCTAGGAACGTGCTGCTCGGCTGTGTTGATGCATTAAGCTGCTATTTATAGCACTTGATGTGTTTTTGTCAGTGTGGTTTTGCACACTGGCTTTGGTGTAATTCCAAAACTCAGTTTGAGTTAAACCACATTCAGCTTTTGTTTAAAAGAGGTATTTCTCTGACTTTCTGTATATCTCCCATCTTTTTCTATTGACTTGTGCTTCAAAGTAGAAAGCTGTTAAGCATTTGGCAGCACACTCGCAGGAGACAGAAAACGTACTGAGGAAACAAACAGTGATTATGGACACGGTCAGTCTCTCCACGTGTAGGGCAATGGGGCTGGTCAGGGAGATGCTGAGGGGATGCGCTTACCCTTCAGGTGTTGTGTGTCCAGTGTAGGCCAAGGATACCCAGGACATGGGCGGAAGAGAGCAGAGTCACCTTGGGCCTAAATCCCTCAGGAGCATCCTGGCGCATGTGAGGGATTAGATCAGAAATGCAGTGTGTGCTGTTAAGCAGCAGAGTTTTGCAACTAGTCAGAAGACCCTATTTATATTTGTTTACTTAAGCGTGATAAGCAGTTTCTGGAGGAGAGAAAAGAAGGAGATTAGGGGTGATAGGGAAGTGGCATGAAAATTGGAAATATGTTCTTAAGAGTGTTGTCGGGGCCAGATAAAATTGTTCGAACAGCTCGGGAGCTTTCACAGCTCTTAGAATCGAAAGTAGCACAAAGCAAGCCTCTGATGGTGGTCTTCGCTGGCCTGCCTGCGCTCCCCACCCATGCTCTGGGGGGCTGCGCTGCGCTGGGAGAAGCAGGCACAGGCCGTGCCGGGGGAAAGGAGGACTGTCCATGTGCTGGAATCAAGGTCAGAGCAGTGTCAGTGTCTTCTGCTTTCACATTTTGCTGCTGAATCTTTGGGTCAGTGGTCATCAGTGACCACTACCAAGGCCCCATGGCTCACAATATTTTGCTAACAAAGGTGCTTCTAATGTTCCTGGCTGGTGTTTTTGTTAAATGTGCACTTAACCTGTTTCTTTAATGCTGTGCTGAAGATCTCATCCTCAGGCGACTCCTTAAAGAATGGTTTGCTCCTTTGTCTGGTCTGGTGCTGGGTGCATAGGACCCGCTCAGCTCAGTGGAAATGTGGATTTCTGGCACAGTAAGCCCGATGGGGAAAATCGCGTCTAAACAAAACTCTGACTGTGTTTGGATGTCACCTAGATTGGACTTTTCATTGGTTTGTTCAGCCCAGCTTCACCAGACACCGTATTCCACTCTGGATGAAACTGGTTTTTGGATTGCCCTACCACTGCCACTGCCACCAGCAATTGTAGGACGCTTACCAAATTTCAAGCACTGTGCTAAGGTTTTACATGGAGAACCTCACTTAATACAACAACCCACTGAGATGGTTCTGTTCTTAGCTCTGTGTGAGAGGGGGAACTGAGGTCCAGAGAGGTTCAGTGACTGGTCCAAGGTCACACAGCTAGTAAATAGCAAAGCCAGAGATGGAACCAGGGAAGGCTGGCTCTGGAGCCCATGCTCTTCACCATTGCACTGTACATTGTTAATATCTAGAAAGCTGTTTTGAACTGTACTTTTTAAAGACTTTGAAGTAGAAATAGAATAAATCCTGTTGTAACGCCTGGTGGGAGGTTCATGATTAAGCGCCAGTTTTTTGTTGTTGTTGTTGCTGTTTCTTCCCTTCCCTCCCTTTTTAATATCACCATTGGGAAGTATTTCTAAATCTTTTGTATTGCAGTGGCCAGTGCCTGCATGGGTTCCGCGCATCTTCAGATATCATAAATACCTATTAGCTTCACTTTTTTCCCGTAAGACACACTTTCGTAAGGACAGCTTGCTTTTCTACTCTTGCCTAATAAGAGCCTCATGTTCTTGTAAATATTTTTAAGGTCACATTTTAAAGAACTTTACTCTCCAGTGCTAGAAGTTGTTTCATGGACAGAGTTCTTGGATGTTTGAACATTAAATCCAAATTGGTATTTGATTTTATTTATAATGGGAGAGAGAGTTGGTTTAAGAACTTAATCTGTGCTCCTCTGAGGGACACTGGCCAAGACTACAGAAAATTTGAATTCCCTTGAACAATATAGTCCCTGCAGGACAACTGCTCTGTAGTTGGCCCCACGAAGCGCTCAACTGGATTACTCTTCTTAAAGGCAAAATAAGCAAAAAGCTCTTTGTTTTCGTGACTATTGTTTTCTCCTGGCTTTAGAATTCTAGAACTATTTATTCAATGCATGTATTAGTTTATAATTGCCTTTTTCGTTAATCCACAGAGAAAACACTTGATGGTGTGAAAATTAGTCTGAAATCTTCGTCTCCCTTTTCAGGTATATTTTTATCTGGACCTCAATATTTACAGGTTACGAAAAAAGTTCCTCTTCACTATGTTAAAGCATCATGGCTTCACCACGCATTTGATACAATTTAAATCGAGTCAAATTTTATGTGTTAGTCATGTAGATATTGGAAAAAAAATAATAACTTTATTAAGTTTGGATTCCAAAAAAGTGTTCCCCTTTACTATATACTAGAATGTGATGCTCTTCAAAATATTTTCAAAATTCAAAGCATTGTATTGAGAATATTTCATCTTGGCAATTTTTTTTTTTTTTTTTTTTTTAAAAATACAGCTGTGTGAAACTTTCAATGACATGTTTTTTACATATGGAAAGAAAATAGAAAAATTTCAAATAAAAAGCCATGCTGCAGTTAGTATTTAAGTAACAGTCTTTAAGAAGTGACTATATGGGCCTGGCCTGGTGGTGTAGTGGTTGAGTTCGTGTGCTCTGCTTCAGACGCCTGGAGTTCACAGGTTCAAAATTTGGGTGCAGACCTGCACACCACTCATCAAGCCACACTGTGGCAGCGTCCCATATACAAAACAGAGGAAGACTGGCACAGATGTAAGCTCAGGGCCAATCCTCCTCAGCAAAAAAAAAAAAAATAATAATAATAATAATAGTAATAATTTCTAATGTTTTAAAAATATTCCATAATTCAGAAATGGGCTCTTTATTTATGTGATCTGTATGGAAAGATGTTTTGCCAAAGACCTTGAGGCAATTTCTCATAAAACCGAAACTGGCTTTATACACTATAAACTTCAAAGACAAAGGTGTATTTTTGAAAAGGGGGATGTACCCGTTTACTAGGGCTGCCGTAATTAAGTGCCACAGGCTGGATGACTTAAACCCCAGGAATGCATTTCCTTGCGGTTCCAGAGGCTGGAAGTCCCACTTTGCGGGGTGGGCAGAGTTGGTTTTTCTGAGGCCTCTGTCCCAGGCTTCTAGAGCAGCGCCTTCTCCCTGTGTCTTCACAGGGTCTTCCCCGTGCATGCTGTGTCCTAAGGTCATCCTCTCACAGGACACCAGTCCTGCTGGGTTGGAGCCCACCTCATGACCTCACCTAATTACCTCTTTGAAGGCTCTCTCTTCAAATACATTTTGAGGTAATGGGGGTTGGGCCTTCAATATATGAATTGGGGGGTTGGGCGGGGGACATAATTCAGCCCTTAACACAGGATAAAATGGTTATTTTTCTCATTGTAATATTTGTAGGTGTCACGAAAGCTTTAATTTTTTTTTAATGCACCAAAGTTGAGCTATCTTTTAACTACAATGTGAGCTTTTTGAACTTGGTTAGTGAATGGAACTTTGTCAAAAAAAATTTCATAACAGTAAAATTGTGATAAATATCTGTATATACTTATGGGTATAGACATCTGTGATCAAGCGTTTGTTAACACCTAGAAATTAGGCAAGAAATCATTGAGTCTGTAGATTCATTAGAATGGCCGTATTTCTAAGACTAGGCCTTAAGTAAGGAGCTTTGGGAATTCTGAGCTCTCTGTGCTTGGGAGGGTGTCAGATGCCTTTATTTTGGATTGCTAAATGGAACCAAAGCTGAAGGATTGACGAGATTCATTATAATAGAAATTATTCTCCAGAGGTATCTATGGGCGTTTGAAGAGGTCAAAATTGGGAAATCGTTGGGCAATGCTTTATCTTTCTTCTAGAATCTTGACTATCACTTTGGGTAACATTTTAAAGAAAACCATAATATTGCTTAATTTTAATCTTTCTCACTGACAAATGTAGCTGATTGACTGTAGCCTTCTGCAGATTTTGTACCAGGAGAGGGAAACGTGCCATCTGCCTGTAGACCCTGGTGAGCCACGCGTGCTGGCTGCCAACACCCTGACTGTGTGGTCCTCTGGGGGCTGGTTGGCTGTGTGAGCCAACTGGGCCAGGGCCATCCCGCCTCCGTGAAGGGAGTCCAGGAGAGCAGAACCAGCGGGTGGGTGGATTCAGAGGCAGCCAGCCAGCCAGCCCGCCATGGGACTGCCTATCTGTCTCCACCCTGGGTTCCAGTTTGGTTTGGACAAACTGCTGAAGTTTGAGTCTAGTCAGTATGAATGGTTCCAGAGGTTAGGCATGGCCAAGGGTCGTCCTTCGCTTAACACATGAAAAAAACATGTACATACATGTACATACACACATATGTGTAGTCTACGGGCTGCATGTTTGACCTTTAGTAGAGTGTGGCTTTATTCTTGAAGCAATAAAGAGTTTGGAAGGGAGATTTGTAACCTTTTATGTACCAGACATACGGGACGGATAAGGTGTGCTCCTATCATCTCAATGACTCGAAGGACAACAATTCAAAACTGGTGAGGGAAGCATCGCCCTTTCATGTATCAGAGTCCAGGGACAGACTCCTTCACCCCGGTGCCCAGCCAAGCACGGAGATCCCATTTTAGGGCTTGCTGAAACTGCGCAGTGCTCAGCTGAGGACTGCTGTCTCAGCTTTGCCTGGGAAGAACACGACCATCGGGTTCAGTGGGTGGCAAACTTTTCCTTAAAGGGTCCATATAGTGAATATTTTAGTCTCTTTGGGCCATCAGGTCTTTGTCACATAGCCAACTCTGCCGTGGTAGCTCAAAAGCAGCCATGGACAATGTGTAAAGAATGAGATTAGTTGTGCTCCAGTAAAACTTTATCAAAAACAGATGATCTACTTTATTTTTTTTTCTCTGCTCAAATTGAGGAGGTTATAGTCCTCCTGGTTTGAAAATTTCATCCCAATTAATTCCCCTTTGTGAATTAATACTGTAATAATTATATGGCGCTTCATGCCATTCAGAAACCCATTTGAATTCACTCATTTGTTCTTTGTGACAATCTTGTGAGACAACGGTTACTGTCTCTGTTTTTCAAGTAAGGCAAGTTTTCTCTTTTACTTTTCATTCAGTCTCAGTGAAAAGATGAATTTAGAAAGATGTAGTCAAATGTACTGGATGGACTTTAAGGCCAATGGCTTAAAACTTGGAGAGATTTTTCCCCTGAATCCTGTGATGATGTTGGGGAGGACCACCCTCTAATATGAAGCTGATGAGAAGTAGGACGCCAGGGGAGGCATTGGTTGCTAGAACCACGGTTACTGTGGCTGGCTGTGCAGAAGGGTTTCCTGGAGGATGCAATGGAAGTGTGAGTTCCTCCAGTCAGAGATTCCGATTCGGCAGGGCTGGGCCAAGTTGCGGATCTAACGTTCCCCTTAAGTGATCCCAAAGCAGCCAGCCTGAGCCCTGTCCCCACACAGGCGCCGACCTGGCGGGCTGGGCTCGCTGTTGGAGAATCGCAGCTCTGACGCTTCCTCGGGCTCCCATAGCTGCGTGATTCCTAAGCCTTAATTCCCCATCTCTACAAAAAGGAAGAAAGTGTTACCAGAACTATAAAAAAAAAAAAACAACAAAAAATGCCTAGAATGTTCCTGGGATCCAATGAACATCAGCTTTCTTCCAACCTTCTGGAAATAATTCATTCTAAGGGTGATTCAGGAGTGGCCTGCTGATAAAAATGAAAAGTGTCAGTAGAACCGAGATGTTTTAGGACATAAAGGGTGACTGCCTCCTGTGTTGGGCTAAGAGGGGGCGTCTGTCATTAGTCTATCGCAGAACTGCCCTCAGGAGGAAGTCCTGAGAGCAGAGCATCTTGCTTCCCCTCGTTCCTCGTATGAAGGAAGAAGTTAGATCAGTCAACTGTGTTTTCAGAAGCAAGAAATTCTTAACAAGACTGAACATCCCAATTTGGGATGTAGTGCTCCTGTATCTACAGCCCATCTAACCTTCATTGGGTGTATCACATAAGTACGTCCCCGGGAAAACTTCTAGTCGTACTTGAGTTCCCTGCATAAGCTTTCCTACCAGAAGGAAAAGGTTGAGAAGAGCCAACAGGAGTATTGCAGTTTAAACCATTTCCCACTTTTAACTTAAAAATTGTGTTCTGGTTTACGACCTTCATCTCTTTTTGAGTTAGGTTATCCTGAATCAATTTTTCCTTGTTAGTCCTGGATAAGCTGATAAAAATCAAGGTTCAGAATCACAGGACATGCTTCTCATGAGCACTTATCATAACTTGAATTAATTATGTGTGTAATAATTTGTCACGTCCGTCTGCCCCACTGTAGAATAAGCTTCATGGGAGTGGAGAGCTATGTGTGTCTCCTTTGTTAATTGCTCTATCACAAGCACCAAACTCAGTGATTGGCATACAATGAATATTTGATAGTTATTGATGACATGAGTCAAGAGTCAAGGTCCACACTCTTTAGCAGAAGTGAAAGAAAATATGAGCTTGAGCCCCATGGCTTGACTCTTTACTGAGGCTTTGAAAGAGGTCGAGAAGAGACGGCCAAGCTATGAGGAGGGGTGGTGGTTGGGGGACACAGGCTGGACACGTGCCTCAGCCTGGCCAACTGGATTGAGTGAGTTTCAAAACTTTTGTAAGACGAGCGAGTGTTTGATGGCCCTCTTAAAATGTCAGGGTAACTCCCAGGTGGTTTGCCCTTCATACGTTGCTGGATTCTAAGTAGCAGACTTTGACAATTACCAACTTTTCTTCCTCATTAATATTGAAATAAATTTGTTTACTAATATACAGTCCTAGTCATCAGTTTGACAGGGGTACTCTTTGTACATCTCTAGACGTCATCTTTCTATGAGTTCCCGTTCCGTGTAGAACATTGTACGTACAGCCCCATATGTCCACGGATAGCAAGTGAAAACAGAAAAAGTTACAATGTGTTCTCCAGAAAAAGCTGTAATTTATTCTAAACAAGTAGAAATGAATCGATCACTATAATTTTAGGAAGATGGCACATAAACAACTTAGCATTTAATTGTTTTATCAGTAACAATCAACCTATCTGTTCACTGGAGTATTTCTCTTTTAACCATAAAGTAGCTCGAACACCAGTGAATTAAACATGGGTAGCGAGCTCAACATCAATGAAACCCTTTCTCAAACCCTTTTTCTTCTGCTAAATCCTA